TTTTTTTCTGCTGTCAGACAACTTTTATAAAAGTCATAATGTATTTTGAATTTTAATAGAATTTTGTTTGTTTGTTAGAAATATAGTGTTTTTAGAAACTGCTCAAATAGATTTTCTTAGAACACCAAATTATATTAAGCAGATGACTTAGAACTCTGTTTTCCAGCCTAAAATATTTAATTTATGGTGCACAGTAACATGGACTGGACATTTTAGAGTACTAAATTACCCATATGCAAGTCATTTTCCCTCTTTATTTTTAGGTTAGAGTAATTTAGAGATTCTACTTAGGAGTCTTGTTTAAATTTTTAGCAGATGGGGATATAGTTACTAATGTCAACACAATAGAATGATGCTTTTTTTCCCCTTCAGTACTGGGGATTGAACCCAAGGCCTTCACACTTAGCCACATCACCAGCTTTTTAAAAAAAAATATTTTATTTATTTATTTGAGAAAGAATCTTGATAAGTGGCTAAGTTGCCTATGCTGAGCTTGAGCTTGTTATCCTCCTGCATCAGCCTCCCAGAATGCTGGGATTAGAGGCATGCACCGCTGCATCCAGCCTGAAAATGCATTTTTAGATTGCTGAAAATAAAAAAATAACTGGAAATCTAGTAAAATACTGTTTAAGAATTAGGCAAAGTTCAATACAAAAAATGTTTTAATGTAAACAATGTCAAAAGAATCATTATTAGCAAAAAATTACTACAGTTTAACTACCATTTAGTATCCCAATGTAAGATGATACCACAATTCCCATCACCTAGATTAAGGAAGTCTAGTTCTTAGGAGAGACTTGTGTGTCTCTTTCCCACAACAAAGCCCCATTCTGTGGCAGGCATACTTAGCTCGGGATACACGGAAGGACTGAGTTCAGAGAGATATTCTTGTGATTGTTCAATCAGCAGCTGACCCATGTTTTGTTTCGGCACAAGATTGGGATCTAATATGTTTTCCTGTCTAACTTCTAGGGTCTGAAATCTTGTGCATCTGTTTTCCTAAGGCAAAGTGATCTATGCCTAATTTCCAAGATGTTCTTTCCCTCCCCAGAGGCAAATGAAGGATTTGCTTTTATTTTTTCCCCATTTTCTGGAACAGTGAGAGTTTTTTTTTTTTTTTTTCAGATGAAATAAAGATTCAGGGAAGTACACACTGTTTCATGCTTATCAACTTTATGTAACTAGTTTTTTCCATGTCTGAGCCACTGAGAGTAATTTTCTCCGACAGCCCCTACACTTCTAAGCACCCAGTTGAAGTCTGTGGAGATCTTTTAAGTAAATGCAAACTCAATTTGTATATGAGACTTCCAGGTTTTCTAACTAATGCTTTTCTTCACAGTTGGCCTTTGGGAATTAATTCATTTTTGTCTGATTTTATCCTACTTGATTTTATAGCAGTCATCTTTTTCCCATTCTTTATCAATACAAAAAGGAAGCCTGTCCTGGGTCTCTTCAAAAGGTCTCCTCATTCTTTAGATTTCTTTGGGTGTTTTTTTTTGTTTGTTTGTTTGTTTTGTTTTGTTTTTTTAGTACCTGGGATCAAACTCCAGCCCTTGCGCTTGCAAGGCAGGCACTGGAACCACTGAGCTAAATCCCCAGCCCTAGAATTCTTTGATTGATTTGTAACTCCAGCTCTTTAATGAGATCAGGAATAACTATGAGTTTTAAATTATCCTCTTAGTTACTATAGGATGAGAGCAATATTTTTAGCTCTTTAAATTATAAGTGAAAGCATAATTTCCAATTTTTGCCTATCTGGTCATTATTTTATTCAGTGCTAATCATTTAATGTTATCGTTCTCCAAAGAAATGTTTTGCTCTTGGAAGATATTAAGATAGGACAGATCATCTTAATCCAGTCATTGAGTAATTTTTCTTGAAGCTGGAGTCTTTGCGAGGAATGGTCTGTGTCCATTTCTTTGTTATTCTTAAAGTACGCCCAGGTGATCCTCACTGAAAGGACAGTAATATCAAGTCATCATTCCTTGGCAGAATCGGAACTCCAGGTTTTGTCCCTCCAGCCTCATGAGGTTACCAAATTATTGCTGTTTCTTAAGATTTCAGCCAATACTTTTATTATTTTATATAAGCAAATTCTCCCAGGGGAAAGCACATGTGTACACAAACACCCACACACCCACACACAACACATATACACACACACCACATACACTTGATAGCTTGGCTCTGTAGGCATCCTTTATCCCTGAGATCTTGGGTTTAAATTTTTAAAAATTTTAGCCAGTTTTTCTAGTTTTTCTCAGTGGGAACACAATCACATGCTACATACACATGTGTGTACATGCATACATGCACACACACACACACACACTTGATGTTGCTAGAAGCAAAAGACTTGTCAGTAACAACTTTTTACTTCTTCAAAACTCAGAATCATTCCAGCTATTCACAGCACATTGTTTAAGCTGTATATTTTCTCTTTAACTCAGACTTTCTTCTGGTTTTATGCTTTTAATCTAGTTAAGATGGGCAGTTTCACAAAACAGCAAAAATTGTTTGCTCTTAACGTTTGCCTTCCACTAACCCTGATTCCTTAAGAGGAATACATATTCATATTTAGAATAGACAGATGACCCCAGATCCACGTACCCTTGGGCAAACTAACACTTTCAGCATAAGGAACATCAGCATTTCCTGAGCCTCTTTTTTTACATTCCCTTCTCCTCTCTCCGCCTCGCCTAGCCTTGATTCCAAACAGAATGGATACAAATATATGAAAGAAGATTATTTCAAACAATATCAAATATTTTATGTTTTATTCTACCCTGAATGGTTGAATAAGTGATGGTCTGTGTTTATTTCACTCATTCACCTCATTTGTTAGGAAGTTTTAAATAAGTATTATTATTGTGTTGTGGGTTACAGGAATTGAAGTCTGACTAGAATATGCTAAAAATTACAACTAATAGGGCCTGGGATTTAGCTCAGAGGTGTCGCTGCCTGATTTGCAAGTGCAAGGTTCCTAGTTTGATCCCTGATACCAAAAAGGAAGGAAGGAAGGAAGGAAGGAAGGAAGGAAGGAAGGAAGGAAGGAAGGAAGGAAGGGGGGAGAGAGAGAGAGAGAGAGAGAAAGAGAAAGAGAATGAATTACAGCTAATATAGTGGATAAGAATGTATAATTTGGAGGGCAAGAATTTACTAGACAAAACAGAATAACCTACAGATAACAAAATTCCAAAATATTAAACCAATATTTTGGCCTGAGATGTAAGGTGAAACTGGATGGAAAAATCTAAATGTAGAATCAGAGTAGAAGCAACTTAACACCAAGCTTTAGAGAATATGGAAAATGTGTCATCTTACTCAGTTTGGGGTTTCGTTCACTTTTTGGACTGATGAGGTAGATGTGAAGTGCTCTTTCTGTGTTGATGTCACAGCACAAAGGTATGAATAGAAACAGCTCTACAGCCAGGGCTTGGAGTAAAACATAGTGACTTCTGCCCACATATAATTCAGCAAAGCCAGTTATACAATGAGCCCAAAGGCAATAAGCAGGAGTGCATTGTCTTTCCATGATGAGGTTATGACAAGGACATAGATACAGAAGGATATGTGAAGGTCAAGACCAGTAATCAGACCATATGTTACTTGAGTGTTTTGATAAGCAGATTGATCCCTGGTACCAAAAAAAAAAAAAAAAAAAAAAAAAGAGAGAGTAAGGCAGCTTTTGTTCTGACATAGATAGATGCACTTGTGTGAAATACAGGTATCACCATGACTAGTTGAAAACAGTTTTATCTTTACTGTGATTCCTTAATCTCTAAATGTTTTCAGTAATGTCTGCTTGAAGCTCAGGCCAAAATGCTTAAGAATGGGCTTTTGCTTCTACAAGAAACTACAACAGCTCCCAGCTTAATTTCTTTAAATTATTTAAATATCTTTGCTCAATTCTTTATATGCCTTTTACTTAATTCCTTTATGTTTTGTCTTTTCCTCAACTTGTTTACATTTTGATGTGTTCTTGAGTGAAGATCATGGCTATTCTGCCTGCTCTTTTAGTTCTCACAGATCCCTTTGTTCCTGTCTGTGTATCTTTTGTTTGGGGGGGGGCTGAGAAAGGGTCTCACTACGTAGTTCTGACTGCTCTTGGACTGAACTCTGTGGCCCAGGCTTGTCTCAAACTCGCAGCGATCCTCCTGCCTTAGCCTCCTGAGTGCTGGGATTACAGGCATGCACCACCACGCCCGGCACTCCTGTTGGTGTATCTTAGTATCTGTATCTGTTAGCACTGGATAGTGATTATTTGTGTGTAGCTATAAATGGTGACTTCCCCAAAGCAAAGAATTGTGTTATCTTTTTTTTTCTTAGAAGATACAAAAGTGCTTGTTGAATGAACTTGACATAGGCAGTGCTAGGAAAGTTTGTCATCTCTACTAGTAGTTAATTGAACTAAAGGCACATATTACTGAAACTTGGACATGGTCTAAAGAAATGCATCCCATAAAATGGTTGCTATCCATTTCCTTGTAAGGAAATGGCGACCAAGTCCCTTAGGACATTTCTAAGGGCAAAAACACAAATTTGAATTGTTATACATATCTTGTCATCATGCAGGCACAGTGTATTTATTATACTATTATAAGTGCATTACAGTGAAAATTAATACCTTTTTATCTGGCACACAATAGGTACTTCTTGATACTTTTTCATGAGAACTATTTACTATCTTTTAAATTTGCTAACTCTTAAAAAACATTTGCCTATTTCTTGAAAAACTTAAACCTAAGTTTTTTTTATTGCAAACTAAAAAACTAATAGAATATTTGATATAGCATTTCTGGAACTACATAACATAATATTCATTTGATTTTTTTATTATTTGAATAGAGCATTATTTTAAGAAATATTCTTATTTGTAAATTATTAAAACTGTTTCAGCTGAAATGTTTGTCCAGTGTTAGACTCTTGTACTGAACATCATTTCACCAAAGAGATATTTGTAAACTTTATTTGGTTGAAACACATTGTTGTTACTTTAGGTGCTGACTATTCTGATGCTGAATTTCCAATTGCCTTGACTAAAGTAGAAACTTTGTATGGCTTGGATGACTTACATTTCACATTGGTTTGAGCAAGATGACTGGTATGAAGGACTACAAAGAGTAAGATATATTTCTGCTGTAATTGTGATTTTTATGATTTTTTTCTACTTTGTGTTTCCTGCAGCTGTATTCTGTCACTTATATTGTTGACATAATTGCATTACAAAATTCTGAGGGTGAATAATACAGTTATTTGATAAGTTTTTAAGCAAAGGTTAGAATATAATATATAGGGGTGGTTATAATTATATACTGAGTACAAGACATTGTTCCTAGGCATCCATCCTGGTTTCAGATGAATTATTAGTAGTGTTCTCAGATTGTCTTTTAACATGAAAAATAAAATGGCATTTTGTACAATGTGATTAATGTACAAAAACAGCAATATATTCAAGTCATTTCATATACAGAAATAATGTTAATAAAATAAATTAAATACATGCTAATATATATATTATAATAATATTTTCAAAGGAATTGAAAAAACTTCAGAGGAAGTGTGCTATATATATATATATAGAGAGAGAGAGAGAGAGAGAGAGAGAGAGAGAGAGCATCTGATACATTTTTGGTCAATTATGTTTCAAAATGAATTGCATTGTTAACGATGCAAATAGTATTCTGATGTATAACTGCAACTGTAACAAATACTACTTAAAATAAACTATGTTAAAATGGGTTTATTCTAGAAAAATATGATTTCTCCTTTATTTGTTTACCTTCTTAATAGAAAATTTAATACTTAACCATTGAATGTTTCTTTTGATTAAATTGTGAACAGAAAAGGCCTTGTCCAATGACTTGTGCTGTTTAAGATATGCATTACTTCATTTTTTTCTGTCTTGTTTTTTCAATCCCCATTTTAAGCACATCAGTGACACCATATTTTCTCATTATATTTCTTATATTTATGAATCTTCTGCAGTGTGGCCCCTCTTGGGCTCTTTTTCAGACACTTCTCATTGCTGTAGGACAACCTGGTAAACATCTCTGGAAGTCTAACTCTGTAGAATAGTACTCATCTGTGAATCCTCAAGCATTCTTCAGAAAAGAGCTTGATAAATAGTGAATAGCTTTGTATGCTGAATTCTAGCTTTATTCTTAAGTAATAGAAAGGCTTCAGGTTAATTTTAAGCCCCAATGAACACACATCCACACCCACAAACACCACTATAGTACCTGTATCCTTTATTTCTAATGTAAAAGTGTGGTTTAATTATAATAAGAAATGCATTTATTATGGTTTTGTTTTGTTTTGTTTTGTTTTGTTTTGTTTTGTTTTGTTTGGTACCAGGGATCAAACTTGGGACTTTACACTTGCAAAGCAGGCAGCGGAACCCACTGAGCTAAATCCTTTGGCCCCTCTTATGTTTTAAAGGAAGATTTGTTTTGATTTCAAGTGTAGTCTGCATTTCTCCATGGGAGGTGCTAGAGGTGATAGTTTAATTTGGGAAAGCAAGGGAACTGATGTTAATGCAAAATACATTTTTTGCTAAAATGTATTTTTCTTTGAAATCGCTTTGGAACAGCTTATAGAGATTATGGGGATTCAAATTTTTCCTTCCTTGCTCTTTAATACTCCTGTGGATCTTTGTAAATGAATTCTTGGTTCTGAGACATATTAAAAGCACTGTTCTTTTATTTGGATATAAACTAACACTAAAATTACCATTTTATCTTTGTCATTTTGAGCTCATTGCTCATTTTTATTATTCTTATGCAGATGTAGATGAGAATTATATATATGATTCTAAATGAATCATATTAATATATGAACATTGACTGAAATTTCTTCTGAAAATTTAGCTTTTTTCCAAGTTATGTATATAAACATATATATCCCACATAATCAGCATTCAGCATGAGTTCTTTTGAGTATTTTTTATTGACAACAAGAAGAGATAAGTTGGGTTTTTTTAATTAAAAACAGTCTTTCAGTTATGTCATATTTAAAAAATGACATACAAATGTGAATTTGGTCATTGGAGTGGTAAAATGGCATTTGTATTCTAGCATAATTAATATTTATAGAATATATAATTATTCAAATACATTCTGTACACTTAGATGAACTTGATTTTGGTTTACTTTATTTAGGTTAGACAGTATGTAAGTAAAATATTTTATCTACAGGTGATCATTTTATAAGTAAGCTTTTCTGTGCAAAACTTACATAGATATACTCTTATCACTAGTTGTTTTACATTTTATTTACTTATAGTACAAAGCATCTTTACCATATCTCTATTAAATCTAAGGGTAAAGAGTTGTGTGTGTGAATGTGTGCATGTGTGTGTGTATGAGAGTTTGTGTTTCATATGGCATGAGATTAAAATAAAAAATAATTTATGTTAAAAATATGAAAATAATATCCCTGTAAAGGCTGTAGTTGCCAGGTTACTGACATTGTCAGTTGCATGTGGGCTGGTGACACAATGCTTAGGCTTTCTTCTTGAATCCATTATAAATCTGCATTGTTCAGAGAGCTGCAGTGTTTAGTACTCCATCAGAGAAGTATGAGTGTTATTTTTGGGCCAAAGCATTATTTTCTGAAGCAACAAATGTTGGGCAGAGACATGAAAACTCTTAAGTTGTTCACATAAAGATGAAACATATTCCAAAGTGAAGATAATAAAGGGTTATTGTAATACCTGAAAAAGAATCACTTGTCACAATTGTGCATTCTTATTTTCCTTTATATATGACATGTTTTATAGGATTTCTATGTAAAATTATAAATATACATTGCAAAGTGTACCTTCAGTTCAATATTTTCTGTTTTTGTCATGTAAAGTCATTAATCGTATAATCATTCGTGCTGACAACAAAGATAATGAATGCTTTTGGCCATTTCATTTTATCTCCTCAGCAATGTGGATAGCACTTAATACAAGCTACAAAGTTTTATGTATTTTTTTCTCATTGAGTTTACTGGTACATTTTAGGTATACAGTAGAGTTACATTTATAATCTCATTGAAAAAATATTCTAGAAAATTGAAATACTAGAAGTTGTTTGAATGCATAATTCAAATTTTAAAATGTAATATTATTTGTATTGGTAATTGTGTATTTTGCTCAATCATAGATTTTTAAAAAATAAAGTAGCATTTTGTTTTGTCTTAATTATTATGGTAATGGCTGACTTAGACAAGTTATTTAAATCTGAATTTCATCTTTTATCAATACACAAGGGGAAGGAAATTAACTCTGAATTTTAGAAGGATTTAAATTGTTGAACTCTAAGAGCTATAAAAGCTGTGTTGGAACAAAGACATCACCAGATTTAATGCTAGCATAGAAATGCTTATGTTACCTAATTTGGGGAATTAAAAAATAATAAATCAAGATTTACTAATAGACTTACTGACATAGATTTCAATAAACCTGAATTTTTAATACGTAAGAAGTAAGCAGAGGACTTCATTTCTCTTCCAGTATGCACAGAGCATAGAAGTCACCAGTTCATCCTAACAAGAGTAAAAAGCTGAACAAATTGAAAAATCCACAACTCTTTTTAGGTTTTTAGGTTCATTACAGAATTGCTATCACAGTGACAAATCATTACCCCTAAAATCTGAGAGATGGAGAATCACAACTTACTGCAGGAGAAACCCAAAAACGGAACCCTAAATCTCTGTGAACTACTGCCAGCATAGGAAACCCTGAACTAGAATTGATGAATTGATGGTGTAAAGAAGTCTGAATATTACACACATCAGGAAGACCAATCATGGATGCATTTCCAACCTTTTATGAGATGCTGTTTTTGTGGTTGTTAATCAGAGACTTACCTATCTGTAGAAAAGAGAATATCCAAGCCAGCCTGCTCTAGGTTGCCACGATGAGCAATTCCAGCTGCCTACTGCCATCTTGTACCTAAGGAGTGTGGTGGTGGTGGTGGTGGTAGCTGAGGAGCACTGGTTCAAAAACTGAAACCTAAGGACAGGGCTATGGAGTGCCTTCCCAGCATCTATACTTTGCTATTGTATTGCTAAAATCCTATTTAAAGCACATCCTTTTACAGGATTACAGCATGTCTGCTTATCACAAAAAATATAAATAATACTAGAAAATAAAAAAAAACATTTTGACGATGTAAATGTAGCATCAAAAATAAAGTCAATGTCTCCCTCCCAAATTATATACTTATTCATAAGTCTAAGAAGTGTGAATAAAGAAAACTATAAAACTTCCATGAAGGAAATCAAAGTAGTGAACATATTCTATGTTCATGAATAAGATTTAGTATTGTTAAGATGGCAGTTTTTCCAATTTAGTCTACAGGTGTGATAAAATCCCAATAAAAATCCCAGCTGGCTATCATGTGGACATTACTAAACTGATTCTACAGATTATTTGGAGAAACAAAAGATCCAGCATTGTTTATTTGATATTGAAAGAGCAAATTTTGAGGTTTAGTGCTACCCAACTTTAAGATTTATTATAAAGCTACAGTAATAAAACTATGCAGTAATTTGCAAAAAATATTGACAACTAAAAAATAATGGACTCACCATATTCTTAACTGAGCTTTGACAAAGGAACAAAAGCATCATAGTAGGTCAAAGATAATCTTTTCAACTAATGGTATTGGAATAACTAAGAATACATATGCAAAAAAAATCCAGACCGGGGTCTCACACACTCTACAAAATATTAAAAAATTAAAAATATATTAAACTGTAAGCAAAAAATAGATGTGCAGAATGGATTTTTAAAAAATAATTCAACTTTATGCTGTCTACTCTTGCTCTAATTTGTGCCATTTCTTTTTTGTTTTTGTTTTTGTTTTTTGGGTTTTTTTGTTTTTTGAGATAGGGTCTCACTATATAGTTGAGACTGACCTGGAACTCACTGTGTAGCCCAGGCTGGTCTTAAACTCACAGTGTTCCTCCTGCCTCAGCCTCCCGAGTGCTGGGATTACAGGCATGCACCACCACACCCTCCTCCTGCCTCAGCCTCCCGAGTGCTGGGATTACAGGCATGCACCACCACACCCAGCTGTGCCATTTCCTTTTAATCATCCACTTGACTGAATCAAAATACTCTTGAAAAGATGATTGAATCGTGGAGACCCTATACTGATGAGTGGATTAATGTGCTCATGTTCATAGCTGACGGGAGGTGGGGTGAAGTTGGCAGGGATTCCTCAGGACCTACCTTTAGAGAGTATGCACCTTGCTGGCTCTTTCCTCATTCTTTGCTTCTCAGCTCTCATGATGTGAATAGGTTTGCTCCATTATACCTTTCTTCCGTGATGTTCCTGCCTTGGAAGTGTTATGGACTGAAACCTCTGAAACAACCAAAAATATCCTTTATCCTTTAATTTTTGTGTGTGAGATGTTTTGCCCCAGCAATGAGAAAAATGAACAATAAACAGCTTTTATCTGAAGACAAATATTGAATAAAATTGAAAGGCTATAAACATTTTCTATTCAAACAGTAATCAAAATAACATAGGATGACTACACGATATGAATCAAAATTGACTAAGTTTAAAAATGCTATGAGAGAAAAGAATGTTTTAAAATTTAAAAAATTCAATACCCAGAAGATATAACAATTATAAACATTTCTGCGCCTAATAGGACACCATCAAAACATGTGGGAACAAACTTGACTTAATTGAAGGGATAAATGCTTCTACAATCAAAGGGAATTCAGTACCTCAGTCTCAGTGATAGGCATAACAACCAGAATAGAGTTCAGTAAGAATAGGCAAATAGTTTCTGTGAGAAACATCCATGTAAAACCATGACACTCTTTAACAGAGGTCACAGTACTCCCAACATTGGCCAGTAGTGTTTGAAATTGAAATTTATTCTATTATGTGAACTGCCAGTATTTAAACTTACATTTCCCAGAAGACATTTATTTCAGTTTTTCTGGGAAATCCATCAGTCTGCCGACATGGGAGTGCTCTCACTAGTGATGCTAAGGCTGTTTAGATCGGATCAGAACTTCTCACTTCAGTAGGCTTCTCAACCGACTAAATATCGTACATAGGTTAGCATTTTATGATCTTGTGCTTCTTTAAATTAAATTACCTATCTTGATGTCTATATAGATTTGAGAATTTTAACCCCTCTAAAAATGTAGGCGAAGATTAATGGTTGTGGTAAAACTTTTCTTTTAGGGCATACAGATAAGGATTGGGGTGACATGTAAAATGGTAAGTAGTTTATCAGATAACAAAAATAATTGATATTTTCTCAAAATTGTTTTTTTTAAGGCAAATATGTCCCAGGTAAGGCAAGTGGGATTGCTGGCTGCTGGATGTCAGCCATGGAATAAGGATGTATGTGCTGCCAGTGGAGACAGATTTGCCTATTGTGCGACTCTGGCTATCTATGTTTATCAGGTAAAACAATACTAATTTCTCTGTTTTAATTATAGTAGGTAAAATTAATATTTAAGTATCAGTCTCATGAAAAGCATAACGCTACAGTTTAATGCTTGTATTTTCTACATTTTGCTTTTTTACTGTATTGCGTTCTTTAAACATTTAGAAAAAGTCAAATCATACTATTAAATTATTAGTAAAATTGATACAAGAAAACACCAGTGGGAGACTATGGATAGTGTAGTAGAGATCATTATATTAGAATTAGGACAGATATATTTACAAATATTCTTGGGAGAAAAATCTTCATAACTACTCTCTATCCTGGCTCCATTCTTTCATCTCTTACCAGTTCCCAATTTAGAAAGCCAATGACTATTTAAATCTTTGCATACAGAGGAGCCACATACATCTTAAATCTAAGTCCTCTTTCTCCTTTAACAGAGCCAGAATCTCAAGTTACTGACTAAACTTTCCCCTAAGGTAGATACAAAAGTCATCTTGGACTCCCTCTTTCTCTTACACTCTGTGCCCATAGTAACCAAGGAGATACTAGTACTTTTTGTGTTTCAGTATCTTCTTTGTATCCTTCTCTCCTGATCTGTTATAATGTTCTCCTAATAGACTCTTTACTTCTAATTTGACTCCCTGTAATTCATCCCTGTGTAATTAATCATTTAAAGTCTAATATTTTTAATTATCAATTATGTAATTTTCTTTCAAAATGTCACATCCAAACTTGACAGTGTGACTTTCAAGGTCTCTCATGATCATCCTGTGTATTTCTTTCTTACTCTATATTATAGACATAACAAAAGTTTCATTTTTAAAAATATCTCAGATTCTTTCATGTCTTAACATTTGCTCTCACTAATTTTTCAGTTTGCCTACATTACCTGTTTACAGAGCATTTTCTCAACTCAAATTTCAGCTGAAGGTACAAAAGCATTTTTGAATTTGTTTCTTCACCTTGCTTATTTGTGAAGGATCTCATAAAATGTGTTATCTCTTTACACAGTTCTATTTACTAGAAATAAATCACCCTCACTTTTTAATTATTAAAATTTTTACACGCTCAAGAATTTAATAGACACTCATTAAATGTCTTGAACTACTTTTTAAAATGTTGAAACATCAACTCATTCCAGTTAAGTAAAAAAGTAATATTTTATTCTGAATTAAAGGCCTTTTTCATTACTATATTTTCATGATTAATAGTGCTATAGCTTATGGAAAATTTAAGAAATTATAGTATTTATCCATAAAAGAGTTCAATTTCTGCAACATAGAATAAAATCGTTTAATGTCTGTTCATCAAGACTGGAACACCTAGCAGTGAAAGTGTAATTTTAGTACAACTTGTGCTCTTTCACTTCCTGTCCCTGCTGTATGTAAGAAAACAGTGTACTTTCCAAACACCTCCTTTCTTCTCTCATCTGTGTCCTTTAAACTCTGCATGTACTCCTCAGCTTCTTGCTGCCAATTTCCTTGTATAAAATTTCTCCCCTAGTCTTAAAGCCATATCTTCTTGTCTTTTGTTTCCTCCCTGAAGAAGAGGAACTTCTCAGGCAAGAAAACTATTCCTCTCAAAAGCAAAGATGTTAAGAAACTGAGGTGATGTATATAGGACTTAACTTTTTAAGTTTGTATGTGTCTGAAATTTTATGATGATATTTTATAACAAATATTTGGGGCAATTAAGCTTAAATTATAAATACAAAAAAACCTTTGCAGAAGAATTTCTTATCAAACACTGAAACAAAGTAAAATTTATTCTGAATAGAATAGAAACAAATGCAAATAAACTCAAGTGATAATTCATTACAATGCCCACTATAACACCTTGTTACAAAGCACATCAGTAGAGAGTTACAGATTACAGTCTTAGTAAGTAAATATTGTTTTAAATGTGATCATGTAAATTAAAGTGTATTGAACATTATGCTATGTAAATTGAAAATGTTATAATTATATTCAGAGGGAATGCTTATTAAAGAGCATCTTATACATGGTACATCAAAGTCCAATAATGTATCATATTCACATAATGACTGTGATGTATTATCAGGTTTTCTGAACTATTAAGTGATATTTTTAAATGACATTAAATATTTTATTTAACCAATGAATCATAATGCACTAATATATTGCATAAAGGTAATCTAGCTGTAATTTATGATACATCTCAATGTAACAGTACAGTCTCATAATACTGAGTTACAAATATAACAGGAATCTGTTAACAAATTAATTTCTACAAATAATTCAATGTCCTACAGTGTGATTACAGATAATGTATGGGTAGTATGTATGATAAAGTCTATGAAGGTCACTGATGTGCAACATTTATTTTATAGTCTTCTGAATTTCTATCATATGTAGCAGGTTTTTCTGTTAGTTACTTTAACAATATTTACCATAGGATTTTTATGGTTGTTGAATAATTGAAAACCTAAAAATCTATTCCTTTCTAAATATATAGAAAACACAATTGTATAATGAAATAGGCCAACTTAAAATTATTATTGCGGCAATGTGAATTACAGGAAAACACCAATATTACTGGGTTATCCGTAATAATGTTTCCATCAAAGTTGTCCAAGAAAGAAAAATAAATTATGAACGAAAAACTTTTTAAAAACAACTAGTCAAAGTCTTATTTACAAAAACACTCGCTGCAGCATTATTTTTCATAGCTAAAATTAGAAATCACTTCAATGATAAACTATAGTGCAAGAGTTTCTTCTTTAAATATCATCTCTTCTACTGACTGAGTATAACTTGACATTAGAAATGCAACTATGAAAAAAATCGGCCAAATTCTTCTTGTGAAACTCACATTCTTAGTAAGAACAAGTGACAGTGAGCAGTCATACAATAACTAAATAGCCAGGTGTAGTGGTGCATGCTTATTTGAGAGCAGAGGCAAAAGGACAATCATTTCAAAGCTAGGCTGGGCAAGTTAGAGACCTTGTCCCAAAATAAAATAAATTAAATTAAAAAGTGTAGCTTAATAGTATACATCAACTCTGGGTTCGACCCCAGTACTTAAAAATATTATATGTTTCACAAATAAATGTGTTTATAAAAGGTTATAAAATAGGCCATAAGATAGAGTCATGGAATAGGTTTTTGGGAGAGTTGTGAATTTTGATGTCAAAATCTGAAAACATCTCTCAGTAGAGGTGCTTCTGAATGCAGGCCTGAATAGGTGAATAAATAGCCGTGAGCAAGTCAGTGGGGAGACCATTACAGGCTAATCAACAGCAGGCTTAAGGCTGTAGCAGACAAATGTTTTTCTTATTAGACAAACTAGTTCAGAATGAACAAAAAGGAAGTCAATATCAAATTAGTCTGGCAAGATATCAGTGGTATGATCATGTATGTCACTCAAATTCACATTAATTTTTCTCCAATTTTATAGGTAAAGAAAGGTTGGTATAATATTTAATACAATGATTTTAAACCCTGAATTTGGTTGAAAGGTTCATTATGTGTTAAAGGAAAAAGACCAACTTCAACAGCAAAAAAGATCAACGTTACTTATAAAAATACAATCCAAATAAAATATAATCTAAAATGAGTAATTAATCCAATAAAGAAGGCTGGTTATTCATGTCATCCACTTACACATGCAAATATAGCATAATGTCCTCTCTGAAATACTGTAACGTTTTAAGAAACGGTCAATGAGGGCCAGGGATTTAGCTCAGTCCACGCCTGCCTTGGAATCTCAAGGTCCTGAGTTCAGTCCCCAGTACCAAAAAAAAAACCAAAAAATGTTCAATGATATCATTACTCTGAAACCATTGGATATCTTGATAACATAAGAATGAGAAGTTAGGTTTCTTTAACCTAACTCTTTTTTATTTAAACATAGGTAGAAAACTGCAAAAAAAAAATCAAAACCAAAGGTTTGTGTTTAACCCTGATAAATAGATACAACTATGGAAAATGTAATTAAGCTCTGGATTATTCATATTTAAATGCAAAACAATTTATTAAATGTATTGATTTTTTCCAAATAGTCAGGTGATTAACTATACTAGAATGTAGACCAAAGCTTGAATTGTATTCATATCTTTATTAGGTGAACTATTTTTCATGTATGTTGATTTTGTTTTATGTAACGTAATGTTTAATAATAGTGTATTATCCAAAAAGGTGCACTAAAGTGTTTTATTTATATATTTTGTTTTAGTTGGATCACCATTATAATGAATTCAAACTTCATTCAATTATGTCTGAGCATAAAAAAACAATCACAGCAATCTCTTGGTGCCCACATAACCCTGACCTGTTTGCAAGTGGCAGTACCGATAATTTAGTGATCATTTGGAATGTTGCAGAACAAAAAGTCATTGCTAAACTCAACAATACAAAAGGTACTTTATAACAGATTTATTTTACTTAATGAAATGTTTTTATCTTAATAAGCATTTTATTAGTTTTTATTACTTTAGGTTGTAGTGTTTTAAGACTTCCTAATAATAACCCTCATAAGAAATACATTTCACATCATGACTCCCATGCATGTGAACAAATCAAAACATATCATGAAATAATTATAGTCATAACATGATTAATTAAAAAGTCAATGCTAAATAATTTCATTTAACATTTAAATATAATATATTTCCAAAATAAATAGAACCAGAAAATATTTTCTTAACAACTAAAAAGCCTTCCTTGTACACTATGATATTAAAATCTGTAACATATGAAGACTATTATGCATATTTCTGATAACCTGTCGAGCTGATTCCATTCCCTTATATGTAATTTGGTTAAAAGAGAAATTCCTACTTCAGCTTGGTGTAGTGGTACATGCCTATAATCCCAGTACTCTGCTAGATTGAAGCAAAAGGATCACACGTTCCAACTCATCCTAGAATACCTAGCAATTTAGGAAGACTTTGTCTGAAAAAAAAAATTAAGGCCTACAGGTACAGTTCAGTGCAAAAGCCCTGGGTTCAGTACGCCATACTGGAAAATCCTAGTTCATACAAATAGGTCTTTTTTAATTTAAATATCTTATCTACTTAGTATTAGAAATTGGGAAACCTTATTTAATCTTGCTCCATTATTATGTTAGAGTTAAGTAATTGTTTTCCTGTGTTGAATATCATGATGATTTATTCTTGTTCTAAGTACCAAGTATAGCTCAATTATTTGTTAGGGTTTTGTAAGCTACTGCTGGATATATTGTCCAAATTGAGCTTATTCTCTAAAAATAATGAAAATAATTTTGAGATAGGAAACTGAAAATGACAATTTCACTAACTTTGTTTTATTCAAAATTTATTTATAATATCCACCTAACCATGTAGCAACAATATTGGGAGCTCATATTCAATTATCTTTAAATTTCCTTTGGAATTTAGAGATATATTTAAAGTACTATCTTGTTTTTTCCTTGACTTTTCAAATTAAGTCATAGGGAATGCTGAAAATATCATGAAAATACTACAATTTAAAAACAATTATAGTCTTAAAAATATTTTCCAAATGAAGTTGTTAAAAACTAGAAAGCTAAATTTTATTTCCACATTCATATTCCATGTTTTATTATTTTTCACTTGCAAATCACCAGTGTATTAGACTGTGGGTAAAATTTTCTCCAATCTCTAACCAAAATACTTTTGAAAAGTTAACTATTCAATGAGTTACCCATAATGTAACTAACAATTTTGAATATTTTTAGTACATCAGTGAGAAAAACCAAGTGACTTTCAGTATCAAGCTTCTTGATATATAAGTAGAAATAGTGATTGGTAGCTTCAGTCAGAATTTTTCATGTATCCTCAGGTTTTCTGTTCATATCTGTTGCTCCACCAGTCAGAAATCCTTCAGATTATTCTAGTATTGTTTATATCAATCAAAAATATATCTTCCTGCTACCTTAAATCCAGCTTTATGTAAGACTTATGTATTTAATTATACATGTATTTATTTATACTGGGGTTGAACACGGCTTTTACATTGATCTTATTCCCCAGCTTTTCATTTTTATTTTTAATTTTGAGACAGTCTCACTCATTCACTAAATTGTGCAGATCTTCTCGTATTTATTACTTTCCCTTTCCTTTCCTCTACCTCACCCACTTCCCCTTCCCCTTAGACCTCTTCTTCTTATTTCACATTATCTTTTACACATTTTTTTCATTAAGTTTATTGGTATATTTTAGGTATACCATACAGTTACATACATCATCGGGAATTTGTACCTTTACATGATATAACTTGGTTCTTATTTTTCCCCCATTTCCCTGCCCTCCCTTCAACCCCTCTACCCCTCCCTATTTACAAACTTTGTTTCCATTTTTTAATTTTCTCATATGTTTTCCTTTCCCTTCTTTCCTTTCCTCTACCCCTTCCAAATTCCCCTTCTCCTTTGCCCCTTTTCCTCCTGTTTCACATAATCTATTATACCTTTTCATCCTTATTTACACTTTCAGTAGCTCACACCAGAGAAACTTCAGTATTTACATGTGTCCTATTTATTTCACTTGAGGGTATGACCTAGATGTGCAGACATCTAGCTATAAATGTCTGTAGTTTTTCACTTTTTACAGCGAGTAGTACTCCATTTTATAAACACACACACACACACACACACACACACACACACACACACACACACACACACACAGAATTTATTTATCCAGTCTCCAGATGATGGGCAATTGGGCTGTTTCCAAGTTTTAGCTGTTACATACTATGCTGCTAAATTTTTTTTAAGTAAATTTTTTTCTCTACTTCTTCATACCATATTTGATCTTGATCTTTCCTCTGTATTTTCCACTTCATTCTTCTTTTTTTCTAGTGTGAAGCAATATACTTAAATGACAATAAGTATTAGTCTATCCAAAAGTAAAATGTTATCACCAACTTTAGAAATGTTATATTTCAAGTAAAAATATCTAAGGATATTTTTGACAGAATTAAATTATTTGGTATTTCCTGGGCTCTTAGAAGTACTTGTATATAGTAAGCCATCATAGAGATATTTTCTATTATTGTAATTTGACACATTTCTGGTTGCTTCACTTTCCTAGATGTCTTCTCTAATGTGCATTCAGAGAGGCAACATTCTATTGTCTTTAAATTGTGCTATGGTGATTTGATCTATATAAAGTAACTTTCATCTATTGAATGAGCTCTTCTGTCGATACTTCCTAACACTACATACACTTTTATAGTACTTATCCACGAACTCATTCATTCGTACACTAAGCAAATATTTATGGAGTTCCTATTGTGTGTCCCTCTTTGAACTGGGCAATAGTTTCCGTTTTCTTCCTGTTGGAGAACATAGACTATACAAACTGCACTTACTGCAAACCAGAATCTTTCAAAATTGTCTTTATTCATACCTTTTCTTTTATGAAAATACTTTCTCTCCATATATTTAAATTTTACCTCTCCTTCAAAGTGTACTTTAACCCTAATTTCTTTCTATGACAGTATTCCAGTGGTTCCCAAACCTTACTCCTCCAAAATAATTGGGAGAAACTTGTTAAAAATTGAATCCTGGACCCTAACTCCATATTATCTGATAGATTCAACTTCATGATTCTGATGTAGTGATTGTGTCTCCCCCTTATAAACTTCCCATAACATTTATTTAATATAATTTGTTTGATTACAACAGTAGCAAGAACATTAATTATTAACTTTTGCACTCCACTGTGTAGTTGAAAAGCTACTTTTATATACATCATTATTATCTTTTTGAAACATTCGTGTGAAACAAGTGGTCAGTTATATTTATTATTTCCAATTTATAAATGAGAAAATAGAGGTTTAGAGAGAGAAAGTAATTTGTTTAGTTCATCTGAGGCAAAACTAAAATTTGAATCTCAAGTCCTGAAAACACATGGAATTTCACATTAAATTCATTTTTATTAAATCTTCACAGTTGCATTTATCTTTTTATACACCTGATATCTCTCATCAATTAATATTTAAGATCTTTAAAATATTTTATCCTATATTAACTTTTATATGTAGGATATCTAAAAAGGTGAAAGATTTATATGATCTGAAGAGAAACCAAAGTATTTATTTGTAGGATATCTAGCTATGGTCTTAGAGACAAATATACAATAAGTATGTATTTTTTAAAAACATGTATTATTTAAATACAAAACTGTAAGTTTCTTTGAGTACATAAAGCACATGACCATTTTAGTAACACTTGAAATTAAATAGATATTTTTCTTTTTATAATGAAAATTTTGTGCATGTGTTCATTGTTGTCTTTGGGATGATTATTTTAGAAAATAACTATCAATTAAGAAAGTAATGTGTTTTAAAGTAATGAACTTTGTTTTTGTATTTTAGTTGGTTTTAAAAACCTACAAGGCATCAAGTATTTAATGGTACAGTCTTATGCCATAAGTTGCTAACATGTACATCTGTTTAATTCATTCCAGGAATACCTGCCTCTCTTAGCTGGTGTTGGAATGCAGATGATGCTGTAGCATTTGTTTCCTACCGAGGCCCACTGTTCGTTTGGACCATTTCAGGGACAGACAGTGGAGTAATTGTACACAGAGATGCTCATAGTTTTTTGTCTGATGTCTGTATGTTCAGATGGCATCCTCACAAAAAGGGGAAAATTGTGTTTGGTCATATTGATGGAAGTCTGTCAATTTTCCAGCCAGGTAAGAATTTCATTAGTCTGGTCTCAAATTATATTTTTCATAGCAGATATACTTTTTTTTTTTACATACATATAGTAGTATGCTTTCAGCTACTATAGCAAATACCTCAGATGAATCAACTTAAAAATAAGAAAATGTTTTTGGGTTAGCCTTGGAGCTTTCAGTCTGATGGTCTCCATTGTTTTGAGCCTGTGGTTGGTTACAGAGGGCATCACGGCAGAAGCACATGGAAGAGGAGGCTCCTTCGCCTCACGTGGGTGTGAAGGAAAGCAGAGGAAGGGGCCAGAGTCCATCATCTCTTTCAAGCGCACAGCATCAATAACTCCAAAACACACGGAACCACCTTTCAAAGATTTCACCATCTCCAAAGAGTGCCTTAGGCTGGCAATCAAGCCTTTAACACATCAGCCTTTGGAGGACATTGTTTACAAACTACAGTGCATAAAGCCCTAAGTAGCAGCATTTTAAATTTAAAATAATAGATGTGAAACTATTATTCAATATTATGCTGATGCCAAATGTTCATTTAAAGTAAATTTTACTTATAGGGATTGTAATACATTCAACTCAGCTATGAAGGCTTACTTTGAATTAATCCAAATCAATCACTTGTCCAGTGTTGGTACTTTTCAAGTCGATGCATTATGTTACACATTTACTAAGAAAATTACCTGAATAAACAAGGACATGCAGCTGGAAGATATGATGGCTTACTAACACACTTCCAAAGTACTTGGGCATTTGTACCATTCTGATACCATAGCTCCTTAACAAATGCCTTAAACCTGGAATGAATTGGAACAATTTCTTTGAACTATTAGTTAATTAGTTTAGCTGGATGAAAGTGTCTGAGAAATGAATTTATATTCATTTTTGTAATGTAAGCAATAACAAAAATATAATTTAAGAAGTAAAGAATTACCAGAATTGCTCTCCTTTCTTACATAAATATGTTAACTTACACGTTTTAACCATCTGGCATTTCTCTTAGTATATGGTTGGCTAGATGGTTAGATTAAAGTACTTTCTTAGGTTCAGGATAGTTTCTTTTGCAAAGTATATTACATTCAATTTACCTGACATTAATAGAAGAAAAAGGAATTTTCATCGAACAGAGGAATTGGTGAAATGTTAAATCTTTCCTAAATTAAAAAAATGATAATGTAAAAGTATTCATCCATTGAGGGCATTCCATGTTAAACATATTTTAAGTAGGATCTATTACTTACCTTTAAGAAAAGGTAAAATTAGATACTGGACATGTATTTCTCTATCTCCTTCCTTTTCTGCTTGTACATGTCCTCTGTTTTTCTGGGTTTTACCAATTTAACATGGAACAGTGTCATCTATTGTTGGCGACTAGTATGAAGAAGAATCATACAGCAGTGACCATTGCTTCATTTAAATTTTTTGTCTCAGACTTCTACACTGCCACTCCCTCTGTTACATCCTTTATGTCAGATTGTGTTCTACAGTTGTCATAAAAGCTTGTAACTAAGTAAGCCACATAGTTCACAGGTTTTCTATGTTTCGATTAGGTGACTACCACTTCTCTCTCCTGTACCCTTTATTTGGGGAAAGTCTCAAGTTTCAGGAGTTAACTGACAATGGCTGTGAGCTCAGTGATTCCTCCTCTTATCGCTCTGCTCTCTGGGTTATTTAACCAGATCTTTGTAAAGATGCTTCCTCACTTAACTACTGGCTGTTCTGCACCCAAAGGTTCCATCAGAATGGTCACACTTTCTCTTTTTTTTAAATCATGAAGTTTATTGGTACATTTTAGGTATACAACATGATGGCAGTTGTCATTGGGAATTTGTATCTTTACATGATGTGTCTTGGTTCTTATTTTCCCCATTTCCCTGCCCTCTTTTCACCCCTCCACCCCTTCCTATTTACAAAGACTTTGTTTCTGTTTTTTCCTTTTCTTATATATATTCTTTTCCTTTCCCTTATCCCTGGGCACGCTTTCTTTTCAGGGAATCTGTATGATGACTAAGATCTGAAGAGGATTCCGAGGAGTGGTCTTTTTTTTAAATTATTCTAAATTGCATTCTTGAATTTTTTTTACTATTCTGTGATCTGTCTTTGTAGGCATCTGTTTTCATTGACTAGATCTTTCTCTTTTTTGCTTTATCATTATTTTTGAAGGAATAAAGCCATAAGACATTGCATTATGTAGCTAAGATCCAAAATATTCAGACATTATATAGTTATTTTGGCATAGAAAGAATCAGGAAGAATAAAGGTGTCCTTTGATTTTCTGTATCCTAGGTTTATATCAGGATACAGATTATGATATTTGAGCAGTCTGAGCTATGAGGCTTGTAGAAGATTTGTTTTCCAATAATTCAACCAATTGTTAAAGTAATTTGTGCATCTCTGCCTGAGTCATCAGTGTTGTTTCTCTTGATGCCCTCATGTATTAGTTTACTAGAGCTGATATAGAAATGTACCCACTGAATGGCTTAGAACAACAAAAAATTCTTGTCTTACAATTCTTCAGACAAAATATGTGAAATAAAGTGCTAACAGGGCCTTCTCCAGAGGCAATAAAGAAGGATGCAGTGCTTTCCGTAGCTTCTGCCAGTTCCTTGCCTCCTGGCAGCATGTGTTTGTGTCCGAGTTTTCTTTTTTATGAGGTCGCAATCATGTTGGATTAGGGCCCGCTCTAAGGACCTCACCTTAACTAGGACATCTGCAAAGACTTCGACAATTCAAATCATAAAAAACCAACACAGACTTCTTCACTTCCCTTATTCCATGGGATTTATTTAGCAGTTAGTACATGCAAAATAGGATGAAATATATAATCCTATTATATATTTTCCTTTTGCTTAGACATGAGCTAATTGATTATGACAGAAACCCTAACTTATAATTCTAATACTGTTCTAGATTGTGAGTTTGAAACTTTGGAACTGTTGAAGTTAATAATGGTATTGATAGGCTTCTAGTGTTTATGAGGAGTTGGCAATTTCATATTCTTCAAAACTCTTTGGCACAAAGATGGTTCTAGTACTATCTTACAACATGAGGTTTCTGTCCTCCAGGCCCTTGCAGGAAACTATGACCTACAGCTCTTTATTGTCTAGACTTTGTCTCTTTTGGAATTACAGCTAGTCTTGGAGTACTGTTCTCATGTAGGTCAGCTATTATTTTAAATATATGATTTCTAAACTATGCTCTGTATGTATATTTGTGTATATTTGTGCCCACGCGCGTGTGTGTGTACATGTTGAAGGTAGGAGAATTTCATAGGTGGTTTAGATAGACTTTAAGCCTCCTCCTAATCAACCTAGAAAACACCATTTATTTCTGAATTTTATGGAAAATTTCTTGTAAGAGGATTTTAGAGCAAACACAAGCAAAACAAAGTAGCTAGTCAAGGTAGCACATGCCTGTATTCCCCACGCTTGGCAGGCTGATACAGTAGGATAAAAAATACCGCAAATTCAAAACCAGCCTGGGCTTCATAGTGAATTCACAGCTAGCCTGAGTTACATAACAAGGCCCTGTCAAAAAACACAACACAACAAAACAAAAAAATTTGGAAATGGCAAATAGCTTTAGCATTTGCAAGTTGTATTCTTAGACTAAGTTCATCATAGAACTTATTTTTTTTTAATGTTCATTATAGAAATGTTGAAATTGAATTGGCTTTGGTCAGTTGTTTACTATTTCACCAGTACACATTAAGAAAATTTACATTTTTTTAATCTTAAAAATGTTGTTAATGATATCATGTTTATGTAACACTGTATCTGTATTTTAAAATCATGCAGAAGATATCGATTTCTGATACAAATTCTAGAAAAGCACATTTTGGTTTGTTTGTTTATCCTGTGGACCTTGTGTTTTGTGTAATCTTTAATTGTATTTTTCCTCTTTGATCCAGCTACCTCGTTTCAAAATCAAATATTTAACAGCTGCGTTATTTATTACCCTTGCCTTTTTTCAACCTCAGTGTTTTGCTAATTTTTTCTCGTATAGAAACTATCAGTATTATCTCATTATTGATCTACTCATTATACCTGCTTATGTCTTTATCAGAGAATACAAATTTGCCTGCTTTTGTATATATTATTAACAGATATAAATATATAATAAATATGAATGAAAATATTATCATCTGCTGTTCTAATGACCAGCTGTAAAATTTTGTAGATTCATTTTTCTGCCTTTTTAAATAAAAATATCAAAAATACCGATACTAAATAAAATGATTAATAAAGTTTGTTGTGATTTTGACTATAGCAAGAGGATATTAGAACAACATGATTTAGATATTATAGCATTAACATTATGAATTCTTGTTTTGTGTTACTGTGGGATTTGTTTCTACATTCTGGAATATTTTTAATAAATAATAAATAGTAACTGGCACAAGCAAATACTTAAAATGTACTTTTAAAAGGCTAGTAAATCTTGGTTAATGAGTCATTTTTTAACCTCTCTTAATTTTCTAATGATTAACTGTATTCACATGCATCAGTATCATAATAAATAGTAATTTAGTAGATGCTTTTTGGTAAAGAAAAAACAGACTTTTCTTGATGGTCATATGCAAAGTTTTTATAAAACTAAATAAATAAGATCTCTTATTTTCTTTTATAATTATGTATGCAAGAATTTAAATAAAATTCTACTATTTAAGATTAACATTGTACTTAAAGAATAACATATCTTAGTAAATCTCATTGCACACCAGAAAAGACAATTTTCAATTCATTTTACAAATATATATCCAAGAAAAATTGATTTTATTCTCTGCTTTTAAAATATGAAGTTTCTGCCAATTCTGTGTGTTTTTAATAAACACTTCCTTTAAAGTTTATAATATGACTAATTGGTACATTTTTTAGGGTTGCAATCTCTAAATTTAGTTGTTTCACTCTCCCTTGAAAGTGATGGATGGTACTGACTGTAAGTTTTCCTTGTAGTTCATCAAAAAGGAGCATTTTTTCCTCATTTACCCAGTCATGTAAATAATTTGTAAAAATATGCTATTTATTACATATCCCACTGTTCTAAGCCTTTTAATCAACTATATCCTTATTTAAAATATCCTGTAACATAAATGTTATGTCCTCCCTTATAAAAATGGAGACACACACACGGCCAGGGATGTAGCTCGGTGGCACTGTGCCTGCCTGGAAAGCAAGAGGCCCTCAGATCAATTCCTGGTACCAAAAGAAAAGAAAAATGGAGACACACAGAGATTATATATCTTGTGCAAAATCACAAAGCTAGTTGGTGGTAGAATTGAGATTTGGACGTGGGCAGCCAACTGCAAATTCTATGCTTTTAATCAGTGCTTATATTCTTCATTTTGATAAGTCCTTCCCTCTTCCTATGTTGTCGTAAGTCAGTAAAATTTGTTGTTGACAAGATTAGGTATACTATTTATCTGCATCTTTCTCTTTCAGTTTTCCTGTAACAAACAGAAGTATAACTTATGGAGCTAGATATTGTCAAAGCAAAGCAATTAAATCTGCTCATTACAACAAATTAATTCCCCTATATTCATACATATACATGTGCACAAAATACCAAATTTGAATTATCAGATCTGTCTGAAATTGGTGGTGTACAAGGAGAAAATTAATATGATCTAAATTATTGATTTCTGTGTCTTGTTTTAAATATATTCACTCATATTTTAATAGGTAACAAAAATCAGAAACATGTTCTGAGACCTGAATCTCTTGAAGACACAGATGAAGAGGATCCAGTCACGGCCTTGGAATGGGATCCACTATCTACTGATTATCTACTTGTGGCTAATTTGCATTATGGAATTCGCCTAGTAGATTCTGAATCACTTTATTGCATAACCACATTTAATTTTCCAACTGCAGCAGCTTCTGTACAGTGCTTAGCCTGGGTTCCCAGTGCTCCTGGAATGTTTATAACTGGAGGTAAAACACTATTCCATGTTTTAAATATATGTACACTCTAATGGAATTAGAAAAATAATATTTTATTGGTTTTGTGAAAAACATTAATATTGCATACAGTATTTATTACAGTAAATGCTTTATTTAATTTATATGGTATGTCATTCACAGAGTTACAAATAAAAATGAAATTTAAGGCTCAATATACCATGTTTTTGGAAATATACTGTAATATATTGTTTATGTGCACATGTGTGTGTCAGTGTTTGTGAACAAAAACAAAGACATATCAGTTTCTGGTGTGGCCAGGTGATATTCATGGTATTGACCCATAAAACCAGTCTGACTGGAGAAGGAGCTCTGTTAGCCTCACTAATAATTTCTACAGCCCATAACCAGATATGTGCAGATAGATCGAAATATTTTTAGCCTAGGTTGAAGGTGAAAGAATCTATTGCCATGGGTCGAAAGGATGCTCCTTTGTGGTGTGCTAATCATGAGAGATAGAGCAAAGATGAGTAATAATGAAGGATGGGAAGATGGGGAAATTTAGGGATAATAACTAGAAATTAGGTGGCTGTTTACTTTTGCCATTTACTTAGGTTCAGAGAGAAGCCTCTGAAGAGATTACTGTCAGCTACTGTATAAATACTTCCTATATTTGCTTAATATAAAATAGTGAGGATTCTTTACCTTCTCAACACTTTTAAAGAAATTTTATACTTTTTTTTTCTGGTACTGGGGATCTAACTCAAGACCTTGCATTTGCAAGGCAGGCACAGTGCCACTGAGTTAAATATCTTGCCCCTTTACTTCTTTAGTACTTAATTTATACTTGGAAATAAATGAATTCTGCATTTATATATCCTAATTGGGGACCTCTGCTTTTGTATAACCATAAAATTCACCATTTTAAAATTATACAGTTCAGTGGTTTCTAGTATATTTGCAGAATTCTGCATCCATTTCTGCTATCTAATTCCAGAACATACAATGATTCTTCAACCAACCTTGGTCCCAACAAATTATGTTCCATTACACCCCTATAGCCCCAGGCACACCCATGTGCATGCATAGACTTTCTATGTCTAATTCTTTGCTTACTTTGTCCACTTCATAGAAATGAAAACCTCTAGTGTGTGGCCTTTTGTGTCTTGTTTCTTTTACTTTACCTAATGTTTTCAAGGTTTATACATGTCGTAGCATGTATAATTATCATTCATTTTTATGACTGAATAAAATTCTATGTGGATTTGCCAGTCTTTCTTTTTAATTAATACATATTGTTATTGTTTCCAGTGAGTGTTGGGCTATCTAGAACAATGACATGAACATTTATGTGCAATTTTTTGCGTGGATACACACTTAAAATTCTCTTTATTTTATACATATGAGTAGAGTTGTTCTTACAAAAATTTTGTATTTGATTGTTTGAAGGACTACCAGACTATTCTGCAAAGCAGCTATATTAAGGTGGGATTTTTTGAAGGAAAGGGATTTTCTAAGTGATAACACTTATTTGGTGAAATAGTTTATAAACATTTTTTAAAAGGAAGGTTTGAAGGTGATCTGTCTTGCAAATGCAAGAACCCGAGTTCAATCCCCGGTTTAAAAAAAAAAAAAAAAAGGAAAGGTTATTTAATACTAGAAGAAATAATTCTATGTAGCTGACAGTTTCCTGAAACATTTCTATTGGAGTGCTTCTGTGATAAAATCGTTATACTGATCTTAACGGAGAGAAAATGCCATTGCAGGCAGTGTCTACCCCATGAAAAGGTTTGTATGAGAAATATAAATTGAAATGTAAAAATTGAATAGTATCTCAATAGTTTATTTCATTGCGTTATTTCACCATGTTATGATTCAAAGCATTTCAATAATTAGTGCTAAAAATCTAGCAAGTTGAAATCTGCATTATTTCTATGTCTGCACATTTTCATTTCAAAATATATTAATATTTTATTTTTCGTGATCCAACTAGATTCTCAAATAGGTGTTTTGCGCATTTGGAATGTTTCAAGAACTACACCTATTGATAATTTTAAATTAAAGAAAACAGGATTTCACTGCTTACATGTGCTTAATTCTCCTCCTAAGAAAAAATGTAAGTAAAAATAACATCAAAATGTTAATATCCCTAAAGATATTTTGTGTCAAATGAAATGACATGTAATGATATAACTGTATCAAACATCATCATTACTTAAATGAAGATTTGAAAATAACCTTAACAGTATATATACTAAAGGAAATATGAGTTATGGTAATAATTTATATTACCAAATTGGAAATATTTAGAATCAACTTATATTTCTAAAGTGCTATTACATTGAAATATTCAGATAATCAAATTATATCTGTGAAAGTGAAACAATATATTGTTAAAAATTAGAAATATCAAGAGATGAAATTAAGCAAAATTGATCTAAATTTGTTTTAAATATATTTGATTTATAATCTGTACAATTTATAACAAAATTAAAATAACCCCAATATAAAAATTATAAGATCTAGAACATAAATTTTATATTTAGATACCAGTTACCAACTGAATTAGTAGTCAGAATTATGGATATTCTACATCCGTCTTCATTTGTTTTTGTGTGTTTTGTTCTCATTGTCATTCTTTGTTTCTATAAGTAAATTATAAATTATATATAATCTTAAATTATAAATCTTAAATATTATAAATTAATTTATTATAATTAAAATCTGGAACTTTGAAGGAAGTTTTAAATTGAAATTGTTAACACAGAGGAAAATAAATTAAATTCTTTTTAGATCTACTATGATTATTCTGCATATTGGGAGTGTTCCCATTTTGTGAAGATCATAAAAAATGCAGACTAGGGAATTTAGTGATTGCAGCCCTACAGTTTTTAGTTTCTCTTTTCTCAAGCCCATATGTCTTTATAATATACTAAATAATTAGCCATGGCATTTCAAACTAATATTATTTTGGTATCTTCTTCAGTAGGCAGTGACAAGTAGTGTAACATCTCTAGATTTGAAACTGTAGCCTTTCTACAAATTTAAATTTTTCTGTGGAGTCCTAATAGATCCAAAGACTGGAAATTCGAGGATCTAGAAATATCAAGACTGATGAAATAATGTGTCTGAGGCTGGCATGTTAGTATGTCTTGCATTTTTCCTGTTTCTTTTAGTTTCTTTGTTCATCAGCTGTGAATGTTCATATCATAGAATGACAGTGATGGAGACTATTTTCTTTCAATATTTTCTATTGCAGAAGCAGCCCATATCATTAGATAAAAGGAAAAAATATATATATATAAACCAATCTTGTACTTGAATAATTCCTTCTGGATGACCTGTTATTAGATTTCTAGAGTTTCTTCCCCAGATTTTTAAGATAAGAGGATGCAAGAACAATTATAAAAATGGAATTTTAAAAGGATGAGCAACTCATTTAATTCTTAAAAACATGAATTGCAAGTAGATTAATTCATAAAAGTTGTTTAGACCACTCTAATTAAGCTAATTAAAATATTAGAAAAATCAGTTTGGGTAATACAATCTTTTAACCAGGCTATCATTAAAATTTCATTGAGCCAGCCTGACAGCTACTGGCTACCTCTCTCATAATTAGTTGTTCATTCTAGTTTGGACTTCCTGTCCCTTTCAGATACAGAGAAATGAATAGTGTCCATAATGAATGGAATAAGATTTTATTATATTGTAATAAAAAAGAAAATACTAGTACATATAATCTATATCTATATCTAGATATAGATATAGATATAGATTATATAATAATTATACTTCAGTATGTAATTCATAATACATTATTCTAATAATTTACAGTGGCATTGTTATTTTGTATTATGTTGCAAAAGTATTCTCACTATGAAAAGACTAATTGAAAGAGGACTGTTTATGAAATGAAAACATAAAAATAATTAAACAATGCAATATTTATATAATTGAAAATAAAAATGGAAGTCTCTGAACAGTAAGAAAAAAAATAGGATGAAGAAAGAAAAAATTAGATGCAAATTTAAGTCAGACAGTGGTAGTATTCTTAATTTGGGTGTTAAATTGAATTATAAATAATCTTAAATATTAGTGTTTTGTTGACTAATGAATTATTGGCAGGGAGTTATTTACTTTATGAGGAAAATGTCAGATGTGTGTGTGTGTGCAAGTGAAGAATATACTATTATATCAGTATTTTGAAGGAAGATTATCTTCAAAAGTAATCATGTTGGTGCTTTATTTTATGGAGAGATAAGAAATCAAATATTCACACCATATTGTGATTTCTCACACCCAAATTTTAATCCATTTTGGTCCATCTGCATTTCTATGTACCTTTTCAAAATAAAATCTAGTTTTGTGCTTATATTTCCATGTTTTTTTGCAATGCTGCAAAAGTGCTCGTGCAGTAGAAATTGTGGTCATTCACATAAGTGTTTTTTAAATGATGAAGCATCATGTTAGTTAAACTCTGTGGTTTTATTCTGAAGGGAATCTATTGACATCAATGCTTTCTCTTTTCTCCCTTCTTTTTTAGTTTCAATCCAGTCTCCAACCAAAAATCATTATACATCCTCAACAAGTGAAGCAGTTCCACCCCCAAGCTTGACCCAGAATCAAGCATTTTCTCTTCCTCCGGGTCATGTTGTGTGCTGTTTCTTAGATGGTGGAGTAGGACTTTATGATATGGGAGCCAGGAAGTGGGATTTTCTTAGGGATTTGGTATGTCTGTTATTATTCCTTCCATTATATAGCTTACTGTATTAAACCATGATGCTTACTTTTACCTGTATATTATTAAAATTATTTTAAGACCTTTTCTTAGTTTAAATATTTAAAAAAATGTGTAGAATAATGACAAGACTATTAACTTTTTAAATATTTAAAAGTCAATTAACAGAACATGACTGACTTCTTTGTGTTTTATGGGATTGAAAAGTAAGGTCTGGGGGTGTAGCAGAATGCTAGAGTGTGTGCTTAGCACATGTGGGGCTCTTGGTTCAAACCCTAGAGCTGCAAGGAGAAGAACTACATAGCAATGTATTATGTGAAGTAAAATGAGAAAAGATGTTTGTTCAGAAGGAAAGATAAGTCAATCTCTGCCAATTATTCTAAGCTTTTTTGTTGTTATTGTCTTTGTGAATTAAGTAAGATTTGATTAGATTATTTTTAGGATTATTTCTATGACTGATTCATTATAATAATCCCTTAATTCAATAAATTCTGTTCTCATAATCATTAAGGCTCTCCATGAGGCACAGTACTTCTTTGCAACTTCATATGTTGTCTAATTCTCTTCTGTTTTATATCCCCACCATCTCATATAGTGCCTAGTACATAGCAAAACTTTAAGTTTTATTGATTGGAGTCATACAATAATATATTTTGTATAATAATCGGGGTTTTTTTTTTTAGTTATCCTCCTTAATTCTGCCTAGTTCAGAATGTATGAAAATGTTCCTGTTTTTTGGTTAATCCAGAAATTTAGCAAATGTATGTATTAATTGCTTTGCTTTGTTCACACATAAACAAGGGCTCTAGACATTGACTGTCATTTTTAGAGATGAGACAGAAACAGTTAATAAGATTATATTATTTTAAGAAATGTTCCTTTCATTTTGTCCTCAAATTAGAAATTGAACTATTACAACACAGTTCTTTTTTTTTTTTTTTTTTTTTTTTTTTTTTTTTTTTTTTGAGACAGAGTCTCACTATGTAGTTCAGATTGACCTTGAACTCACTATGTAGCCCAGGCTGGCCTCCCAACTCACAGCAGTTCTCTTGCCTCAACTTCTCAAGTGCTTGTATTACAGGTTGCACCACCATGCCCTGCTATCAAATGCATTTGTTAAACCATGTGTAGTTTAGTTCTTTCAAAATACAGTGGTGACTTGTTTCAAGAAGTTAATTTCTTCCATGACTCTGGGAAGATGGCAGCAGTCATGTTAGTCACAGGATGTAGAGTTTGTAAATTAAAGCCAATTTTTGCTGAATGCTTCAGTTTGCTTACCGAATTGTTAGGGAACAGACACATTCGTGAACCAAAACATTACCAATATATCTTTTTTGTAGATGTTTATTATAAAAATCATTTAATTTTATTTCCATTTAAACATTTTTTCCATGCATACTCTTTCCTAATGTAGCTGACTTTTTCTGTACTGCAAATTATCATTTACTTTCAAATAAATTTGTTACAGGGAAGGGAGGAAGATGTAAGAATACTTTTAAATTTATAAGTTGTTTTATTGGTAGAAGAGAAATTATTCAGTTTTAACTCAGTAAATTTTCTATTAGTGGAGAGCTCCATTTTTTATTTAAAATCTACGTTAAAGCCAGATGTAGTGGCATAGGCCTTTAATCCCAGGAGTGAGGAGGATGAAGAAGGCAGATCACTGCGGATTTGAGACCAGTCTGGGCTACTTAGTGAATCCAAGAATAGCCTGAACTACATAGTAAGACTCTGTCATGAAACAAACAAACAAACAAACAATAAATAAATAAAATCTATGTTAAATACTAAGATATTAATTATATTTCAGTGGATTTTCTCACTTTAAACATGTCTGCCAATCAAGTTTTTCTCCTTAAACTTTCTCTTGTCCTAATAGAGCTCCAAATTTGAAATTACTAGTTACTACAAGAAAAATTTTCCTCTGATCTGTATGTAAATACAGATATAACATCTCCAAAGATTCTGAATTACCTTCGATAAGCAGTCTTATTAATGTGTATTCTGAAAGTTGTATTTCCATATGAATGTTTGCCTCTCTAAACTTAAGAAAAAAATGATGCAACATTTAGCTCTTTATTCCTACCTTTCTTTTGCTAAGAACAGATCATGGAAAGAGAAATGGTATAATTTGGTTCTTGCTATGTGAATTTGCAGATTTACAAAACTGAAATGAAGGCAGAGCAGTGAAACAACACTTCAGCGCTCACATACACGCAGCTACTGCCTTAAATGTGTTCTTAGCCTTGGAAATGACTGCCTGGAACAACTCCAGCCTGGTGACCAATGGCTGCAACATCTCCCTTTCAGCCTCTTTTACTAAATAAACCTTGAGATTTTTCTTTTTTCTTTCCTCTGCCTACACCTAATGGGAAGACTTTAACAACACTTTTGAATTTTCCTGAGAGTTTATGATTTCTGGTGTTAATGGCCATATATAAAGGTGAAAGGACTTCCTTCTCCACTACACTGGTAGAGGAATAGAAAGCCCCTCTTTATTCCTTCCCTAGATCCTCACATTTTATAGTTTCTGCTTCTTGGAGTAGAGGTTTCAGTTCCCATTCCACAATTTTTGGAAAAGGACAAAAATGTAACCCTAGCTATTGAAATTGGATTTTAACAGATGTTCCTGTAGGAAGATAGTGATTAAGCTCCACTTTAGAAGTTGTATGTTTACACATATCTGCATAATCACTTGATAGTCTTCTGGGTATTTAGAATCCAAATCACCCTGTAACACAAACAAGTATTCCAAGATCCAAAGAATACACTTGCTAGAAAATTTTGGAATAAGGCTCATTGAAAATCAGGGCCTTGCCTGATTCTTCCTATTTCTACTAAAATTATGAGGTACTTGTGGAGTATTATGAGTACAAAAAAGAGACATTTTCAATTGGTTGACTGCTAATTTCTATTTCATCTTGATTACCTATTATACTGCCATAAAAATACATAATGACTTTTCAGAGTTAATTGATTTATACGTGTCTGTGCTAGTATCCTGTTCATTTAAAATGATGAGAAGTGGGCTGGGGATTTAACTCAGTGGTTCCACTGCCTGCCTTGCAAGTACAAGGTCCCGAATTGAATTAGAAGGAGGAGGGGACGAGAAGGAGGAGGAGGAGGAGGAGGAGGAGGAGGTGGTTTTGAACTAAATTGAAATTAAAAGCTCAACTTTTCCATGTATTTGAATTCTGTTGTTGATTTCAAGAACTGTAATTGAGTAAAAAACAGGTTTGTAGAAAATACAGGTTTCATATCTATAATACTAAAAACTAGAATCTGAAAGGTGCCAAAATCTGAAACTTTTTGAATAGTAACATAATTACACAGGTGGAAAATTCCACACCTGATCTCAGATAGTTGATTACAGTCAAAAGGCAGGCACCCTAATCGTACTATATAAGATGATTTTTAGGTTCTGTATGTAGGATATGTATAAAAGATAAATAAACTTCAGATATAGACTGGAGTCCCATCCTCAAGATTTCTCATTGTATGTATGGAAATTTCCAAATCTGAAATCTGTAGTACAATAAACATCAAAAAGAACATGCAGTCATAGAACTGATTCTAACTTTGTATATTTCTTGCTTACCTATCTACTTTGGTATTAATATTTAGAAAACCATTATATATAATGTATGGTATATACCTATATAAATATATATATATATATATAAACATGATTATACATTATCATTTTTTACTTATAGTGTAAGTTTGCCTCAGAAACTGACTTTTTTTATATTACATTCCTAGGGACATGTGGAAACTATCTTTGACTGTAAATTCAAACCTGATGACCCAAATCTTTTAGCAACAGCTTCATTTGATGGCACTATAAAAGTCTGGGATATAAACACATTAACAGCTGTATATACTTCCCCGGGTAATGAAGGAGTTATTTATTCCCTTTCTTGGGCACCAGGTAAGAAGTAATTCGTTAAAATTGGGAATGCAATTACATGACTGTCCTATTTTATTTTCATTTGAATTACTTTCTTCTTCTGAATGTTATCTTGTTTCAAGTGATCATGTAGGCAAATTAGTACCAACTTTGGTACTAAAGAGTAGAATAGCATAACACTGTACCTGCTATTAGTAGAACATTCTTCATCATATAAAAGTATATGTCTGAAGTCTAAAACTTAAATGAAAATTGTGAATATAAAAACCATTGTTTCGAGCCTTAAAGATGATTTAATCTTTTTGAACATATTCTTCTACTGGACACTGATGATTTGCATCAAGAAAGTAAAAATGTTAGCAAATGAAAATTGTCTTTTTTTTGCTGTGTGATTACTCGTTGGTTGTGATTTTTAGGTGAATGTGGATTAAATTTAAAATATTAATCTCAGTTGATAGGAAAGAAAATGCAGTAGGATATAGATGATTGGTCTATATTTTAGAATACACACCACAGGGAAAGAAAAACAATTCAAACAAATTTGGAAATAATTTAAGAACCCAAAAAGAACAGCAGAATAAAAATAGTATAAATATGATAAATTTTTTCATGTTTATAATCGCTTATCACAAATTAATCCCTGCATATTCTTAAACCTAACTGATAGGTAACAGTGGCTCCTTTCTTCAAATGGGGTCCTCTTCTTGTATCATCTTTTTTTCATTAATTTTATTGGTACATTTTAGGTATACAATATGCTGACATTCATTATTGGGAATTTGTAACTTTTCATAATATATCTTGTCTTATTTTTTCCCCATTTCCCTGCCCTCTTTTCAATCACTGTTGTTTCATTTTCACAAATATTTTGTTATTTTAAAACAGAAATCATTGTTTATGCTTTTGACAGGTAAAATGTTTTTTTCACATTAATTGACCTATAAAAATATTTTCCTACTCATAAAAATATAACTAGATAATTAGGAAAGTATGCATATTGCCTGAATATATGCTAATAATGACAACTATTGATAATTTTTGTGGTGGTGATCGTGATAGTTTGGTCTTGATAAAAGCATTCCTTTTAGATGTGCGTACTAAAGTATTTATTGATAAAATAATACTGTGTCTATCGGATTTGTTCCAGAGAAATCCAACAGGTGCTAGAGATACGATTTGTCATATTCTGATCACTGTTGAAGCTGTATAATAGAAAGTCATTGTAGTATTAGATGTGTTGACACATTTTATAATTATGTATTTTGTAATTTACATTGTAAAAAATTTATGAAACCCCATTGTAAAGCTTAAGTCTTACATTTTCAGAAATTACTTTTGTGGCAAAAACTTAATATTTGTCTAATGTATTGTTTCCTAAGGTAGTTTAAATTGTATTGCTGGGGCAACTTCCCGAAATGGTGCTTTTATTTGGGATATTCAAAGGGGCAAAGTGGTACAGCGATTTAGTGAGGTAAGATGTGTTTACTGCTACTGAATAACATGACATACTAGTTCATACTTTGTACATTTTCCCTCTTAGCACTTAGTAACTTAGTGGTATGTAGATTCTCTCAGTTAGTAAAGTCACCAAGGACGTATTCACATAACAAAATCAATCATGAGAATTATAGTTGAGTCTAATCACCTAAAGTTGCATTAGAAATTGTAAAGAATTTTAATTTATCTTCTGCCCAAATCTTAGCAAATATTAAATAAGGGGAAGAAGACTAAACTCAGAAGTCTCACAAATAATCCTGATTCTGTGGGTAGTATCTGTTGCCATGAAGAGAATCATTTTATCACCCTGAACCTGTTGCTTCACCTGTAAAATGATAAAGTGGGATTTCATAATTTCTTAGATTACCTTTCTGTTATGAATGGGACAGGGGGTGTTAGGTGGGTGTATGGTTTCAGAGTGATCCAAAGAGCACACAGCCTACATCCTTGCATGCTGTTTGTGGCAGGGTTCTTGCTCCTGCTATAATCTGTTCAGAGGCTGATTTGACCGGAGGTGGAACTGAGCAGTAGCACAAACGATGTTCACTTTCTATTGAGGCTCAGTTCCTCAGCTATGGTACAGGTTGGAAAACCCCTGTATTATTGTAAAACAGACCCTAATACTGACCCTCTTCCTACATGTACTGACACAGATTATATTTATCGCTAGGCTTAAATTATCCCATATTTTACTGTTTCACTAATATTTGTAAAACATAGATAATCTAATTACAGTATGTTCTATATGAATAAGGAGCAAGAAGAATAGGATCTAAGTGTCATTATCTTGGAATTTTATTAATTTTCAGCAATTACTGTTGAAGCGTAATGACAACATGAACATGAAAATGAAACTTTCGATCAAGGTTCAAAAATTTTATCCATATCTAAGAAATCTGTTGACTTCTTACAGCATTTCAGCATCTGTGACCTAAAGTATCTGTCCATTAGCATGGAAACAGTAGTTCCAACCTAATTCTAGTCACCCAGTCTCTTATTATAAAGGACATTTCTTAGATTAATACAAGTTTTTCCCAGACACATCTCCAGTTAACACAATATCAAACTTTCTTCCCAGTTTTCATATAGGAAAAATTAACAGTATCACCTTTAATTAACTATGCTATATGTGTCCAATAAAGGGAAATGAAAGACATTAGAGAGCCTAAGTATACTTTTCATGGCAATGAAAAAATGAAGTTAATAGGAGGCCTCTACTCCTTACACTGAATAAATATAGGGACTAGTGCCATTTTTGTATCCACTTATATAAATCTACCCCTCTTGGCTCCCAAAGAGGGAAAACTAACATAGGAAACAGAAATCTGTTTATTTATAGGAAACAGAATCTGTATATTTATAAAGCAACCTTAAAATACAGGATTAAAAGGTCACTTTAGTTTTCTCCTTAACAGCAGCCACAACTGAAGTACAGTATAAAATTGAAGTGTTTTAAACTAAAATTTAGAAATGAGTTGATTACATTTATCTACCCTTCACACAGCTGATGAGTGACAATCTTATGTAAAGTATATTCCTTGTGTGTAAAAAACTCTTCACATCAGCTAACTCTACTCCTTGACTTTATTCTGTTGTGGAATACAGAGGACCGTGTAAATATAGTGATTTATTATAGGAATAACCTTATATCTTTTCCAATTTTTATAATAAAAATAGGCCTTTGAAACTTAGAGACAATAAGCAATAATAGTTACTTGCCACATATATTGTATTATACTTGTGATAACCTGGATTTGAAATCTGGTAGCTATCATCCTTTCTAGATGAATTCAAAGGAAAAGAAATTAAAGAAAACTTAATTCTGTAATGGTTGAAGAAGCAGATTTGACTCTGCCTTGTGGCCAGCAAAAAGAAACAGAGTGTGCAGGGGATTTGGCACTGAGGTGCTGCCACCTGCCTCACAAGCGCAAGGTGCTGAGTTTGATCCCCGGTACCAAAAAAAAAAAAAAAAAAAAAAAAAAAAAAAAGCCACCCAGTTTATATCTAAAACAATGGATTTGTTTTTTTTAGGTGTGACTACTTTGCACATCTTAACCTATATATATTCAGTGTCTGCTTTTAACAGTGACATCTGTTAGTATCAGATGGAGTAACTTCCTAATAGAAAAGTAATACTAAGAAATATATAAATAAGAGGAAAAAGGGTGAATTATTTCTTATTGATAGGTATTTTGCATTTTTTGAAGCATGGAAAAAGTGGAATATTCTGCATTGCCTGGAGTCATAAAGATTCTAAAAGAATAGCAGCCTGCAGTGGTGATGGTTTCTGGTACGTACTGTGTATGATATTATGCAGTTTCCCTGTTTATACAGGGTACATCTGGTGATTCCAGTTGTGTATTGATGAGATTTTATTTGTGCAGGCATACCAACTACCACAAATATTATTTATAATCCCATATAAGCATGTACTGCATTGCTATGTTATCAATACATAATACAACTGTGTTTAAAAAGTACAAAATTAAAAAACACTGTGAATCAAAAGTGAAAGATATGAATTGTCTCAAAGAAATTTACGGACTCCTCACATTGGGAGGGCAACAGTATTTCAGTTTCACGGGTTATTCAAGAGATGTCAAGTGCTCTAGAAACTTGTTTATAGTTTTGTATATCCTAATATTTATAAGAAAATAAAATGTTTTTGCAGGGAGGATATGGTAATGCAAACGGGAAATACCTTTTTGTAGAACCTAATTTCATTGCAATTGTGTTTCAGAAATAGGTGGTTTCTTAATTAGGTTAAGTCCCAGGAAAAGGAAATAAATGCATTTGATTTTTAAAATTTAAAATTAGTGATCTTATCATTTGTCTGAGTGAATTCTTGACGGGTATAGACGCTTATAGTTGTTGCAATATGGAAGTTTGTCTTCTGTTAGATTTTGCTGTGCTCAGTTTTTTCTCCTCACTTTTTAATTTCAGTAGAAAAGAATGGTAAATGTGGAAACCAAATATTATTTATTAGGAAGTTTTAAAATTCTCAGCAATAACAACATTAGTGATTATTGAACTATCTACATGTTAGTACATATCAAAATACATTCCTGTGAAATTTTTCTTTTTGTGAGACAGGTTCTCACTTTATAGTTCAGGCTGGCTCTGAGCTGGCCTTGAACTCTTGGCAATCCTCCTGCCTCAGCCTCCCACACTGAGATTGCAGGTGTGCACCACTACACGCAGCTCTCTTAGGAATTTTTGATGAAGTAATGCATAATTAACTTTACCATGTGCTTACAGAGCATTTGATAAATATGGTGTTCAGTGAGTACGAATTGAAAAGGCTCACCACCCCATAGGAACTTCAAAAGTTCTGATGGGCCTCCTGATGTTTAAGAGTAACATTTTTAAAACCTTTTGAAATCTATAAAACATAAATTTATACACAGCTTTTTCTCCCTAGTGGAATCAGTAGCCCTTGCATTGTGGCAGTAGAACAGTGCCAGAACTTCTTTTATTTTTGCAGGTAAATTATACAAGATTCTTTATTGGTGATAGGAGTTGGGAGTGTTCTCTGAATTTCTAGTTATATTACTGAAACTATGCCATGAAAATGCAATAGATTTTGTTCTTCATGGGATGATACATACAGTCAAACTTAAAAATGAATAAATACATCTCAAACTACTTAATTTTAAAGATAAAATCTAATACATCTATTAGCTGTATCATTATTTCTAAAATATTTAAATTATATTTTCCTCATCTAAAAAATCACATAATAGTTTCTATACAAAATGTATTAGCTTTAATTTGACTTACATGGATTACTGTAATTAATATTATGTGAAATAAAAATATCAAATGGTTGTATTTTTAAATCTTCCTTATGATTTGCAAACAAGGCTTCTACACAAGAATACTTATCTCTGAAAATTACAATTCTGATTTTTCCCTTGAATCACGTGTTTCATCTGTTGTTTTCCTATTAATGTATTATAATTAATTTCAGTATTATTCGAACAGTTGATGGTAGAGTACTGCACAAATACAAACATCCAGCTGGAGTGTTTGGCTGTGACTGGAGCCAAAACAACAAGTAAGTCTTTCTTTTTTCCTGAAATAATTAATATCCTTTCAGACATTTGAAATAATCATAAAATTCAGTACCATTCCCAAAGTATGTGTATTATACTCATCATTTTCTTTGGATAATAATCTTTTTACCTAGTAAATAAGAAGGAGTTTTATAAAGGCTCATTTATTTGCATTACTTTTATTCCATGACGTGTTTTTGTTTTGTGGCATTGGGGAATTGAACCCAGGGTCTTCATGCTAAGCTAAATCGTGAGCCCCCTCATCTTTTTTATATTTTTATTTTGAGACAAAGTCTCACTACGTCACCAGGATGGGTTTCAATTTCATGTTGTCCTGCCTTAGCCTTTCAGAGTGCTGGGATTACAGGCATGTACCATCATGCCTGCTTCCATAAAGTTTTTATGTGGTTTAGAAATACAGATTTACTGCTCTCACAACAGTTTTCTTATACTTTGGTAAAAAGTGTACTGTGATTAATGAGAAATAGAAATAAATTCATCTTGTGTATGGGTTTCTACCATAGAAATGTGGTCCTTCCTCTAATTTCTGTTAGATATCTATGTAATGATATAATTCTGCCATAATTTTTCATTGTCTCCCACCACAAGCTAATGCATTGGCCTTGGATAATTTCCCAAATTGCAGAACTTAAGTGGTTGGTTTTCAAAGGTCAACCTTGTTGAAAAGCAGAGAGAGTATTGTCCTGTTAAAAATCAGCTGAGATTTAAAATTAAATCCAAATCACTAAAATTGGACCCGTAGCCTGCTTTATGTCCAACAATTTTGCATTTCAAATTTGTATTTTATAGGACTTAAATTATATTTTAAAATTCAAGCTTTTGGTAGATGTTGTTGAAAACATGAATTATGCTTTCTTCTACTACATGTGGGAAATGTATAGGTAAATATTAAAACCTTATATGTCAGTTCTGAATAAAATCACATTATATAAAATGTACTTCTTCCTATAAATAGAGAAGAATTTTTATCATTGTTAAATTATTCACAAAGTGAGCTGATGGGTAACCCATTTCCCCTAATTTCCTATCTCAAGAATTGATAATTTAACAAAAACTCTTAAAGCCACAATTATTGGCCTTTTCTTTTTACAGTCTGCTAATTTCCAATTCCATTCAGTCACCAATGTCAGCCTTATTCCCGATCTAAATATTCTTTTTCTAAACATCCCCTGGCCACTAAATCAGTAATATTTTGTTTTGGCTTACTTATTTGTTCTGGATTCCCTCAAAAGATTTCTAAATCAATTTCAGACTTTATATTCTTTATCACTTTCTCTAGCAACCAATATGGACATTTAAAACACATATCTTGGCCTACAATTCTATTGCTAAAATCCTTCCATAGTTTCTCTTTTTTTTCATTGAGTTTATTGGTACTTTTTTTTTTTGTTTTTTTTTTTTTTTTTTTTTTTTGGTACTGGGGATCAGACTTGGATCCTTGTGCTTGCGAGGCAGGCCACCAAACCACTGGGCTAAATCCCCAGCCCTGAGTTTATTGGTATTTTTAAAGCACACAGTACATTTACATTCATCATTGGGACCTTGTACCTTTACATGACAGGTCTTGGGCCTCATTTTTTTCCCCTTGTCCCTGCCCTCCGTTCAGCCCTCCCCCTCCCCATTTACAAACACTTTATTTCCATTTTTCCCTTTTCTCATATTTTTTCTTTTCCTTTATTTCCTTTCCCCTTTCCTTCCCACTTCTCCTATTAGCCCTTTTCTTCCTATTTCGCATTGTCAGTTATACAATTTGGATCTTATGTACACTTTTAGTTTTTCTCATAAGAGAAACTATTTGGTATTTACACGTGTGTCTGTATTATTTATTTCACTTAAGAATATGGCCTCAATATGCATCCATTTTCCTATGAATGACTCTTAATTTCTCATGCTTTATAGCTGAGTAATATTCCATTTTATAGAAAAACCACATTTTCTTCATTCAGTCTCCAACTGATGGGCAACTGGGATGTTTCCAAGTTTTAGCTATTACAAGCTATATATCACAGTATCACTATAAACATGGGTGTGCATATATCACTGTGATATGATTCTTTTAATTCTTTTGAATAGATACCCAGCAGAGGGATGGCTGGGTCAAATGGACCCTCTAGTCCTAGTTCTTTGAAGTATCTCCATATTGATTTCCACAGTGGTTGTACCAGCCTGCACTTTCACAGTTTCTTATTTTTAATAGGGTAAAAGGCAGGCCCCACCAGGAAATCCCTGTGCACTCTGCATTCTGTTTACATTGATAGTCACATCCCTATTCCTGCTCTGATCATTCCTGGTATCCAGTCACATTTGCTTTATGTTTCTTAAAGTACCCAGCTGATTTTCACTTCAAAGCTCTCCCTGGAGCTCTCCCCTTTATTGAAAATTCTACTCCCCACACCAAAGCACTTACCCTACTTGGATAACTGCTACCTATCTTTCAGCTCTTGGCTCAAAAGTTTTTAGAAAAAAGTCTTCCCTGACTGACCTCAATATGGAGTAAAATTCTTTTATAATGTGCTTTTGGAACACTTGTAATAATAAAATTAAAATTTGAATTGTGTAATTGGTTGCATATGAGTTGTCTCACCCTCTAAAATGTAAGCCCCATGAGATCACTGACTATGTTATCTATGCTTAGTGTAATATTTTTAGCAAGACACTTTGTTGTTAAATTTCACTGTCCTTTGGAAAAAATTAATGCTCAATCAATACTTGCTAATTACAGATGAGTACAATTATCTTGTTGGTGAGAAATAAAACAGTTTTTCATTCTTTGTTTTATAAGGTTAATGTGCATTTGGACAATTGGAAGAGAAATTAGATTTTAATGCAATAAATTTAGTTAGTTAAGAAAGCATTTAAGAAAACATTAGTATTCCATTATACTTAACTGTTATGCTTACTACCAAGCATACTTCATAAACTTCATTTTAATTTTTAAAACCTTTTTAAAATGTTCTACTGGTATTCATTTTATACTTTGCATATTAGTAGGTAAGTAAAATACCTCCAATTTATCAAAATTTATTTATGTTATCTTGAATGTTTACATTGGAATTCTTTTTCTGCAGTCTTTCCCATTCATGGTATTTCTAATATTTTATATTTATCTGTACACAATTATACTCATGTATACATATAAGTATTTGTATTAGTCAGTTTCTCATTGCTGTAATGAAATACCTGACACTCACAACTTAAAGAAGGAGAGGTTTATTTTGGCTCCTGTTTCAGTGCATAGTCAGCTGCTCCAAGGCAGGACCTCTTGGCAAGGGTCTGGTGGAGGAGAGCTGCTCACCTAATGTCATCCAGGAAGCAGAGAGAAGGGAGGAGTAAGCAGAGAGTATTACTCACCTACATCACACACTCAGTAGCTGCCTCCTCCAACCAGACACACCTCCTAAAAGCAAGGCAGCTACAGGGCCCCCACAATCCAGTCACTTACCTTCCCAAAGCCCAGACTATGAGTGTAAGAGGCTTTTGAGAGACATCTAGATATAAACTATAATGGTATGTTGCAAAATATATTTTCCAAACTGTAGAAACTGGCTTATTTAGCAGTGGACTTTAAGAAGATAAAATCTGGGCACGCAAGTGTGTGGAATGTTATATTTCTGAATGTAGGTGTAAATAAAATATAAGTATTATAACTCATATGACAAAATCAGTATTTTGAAGATTTGGAAGCTTTGATCACATCTGATTTCCAAATTGTATACTTTCCCTCTTATCTTTAGAATGGAGGGATTGTTTATCTGCTGGTTAAAAATAGATGACTCTCAAGTAGAAAGTGTTCTGGCAGATACACAACTTTTACAGGTTTGCCTGGTACATTCCTTATTCCTTTCCTATCCCTATTCCACATATGACCAGTAGGGTGGAAGTCATTACCTACTATACTCTCACTTGTGTTAAAAGAGTGAGAAAAAACTATTTAAGTATCATATTATATTTCTGGAAATCCTTAGTTGTGTCTGATAATTAACGCATCTCAAGGAATGGAAGATATAAGAACGAATGGAAAACTGAGCAGTGATTCATTATCTGATGAGACAACCTGATCTGTAGGGAGCTTTTCTAGCATACTTCTAAGGGATAACATTGCTGTTTGTACCCATGCCACAGAAAGTGTAACAATATCCAGTGCATGCAATAATAATATGCCTTTCAGCAAGTAAGCAAATCATGGCATTCATCATGCGGGACCCTTCTTAAGACAAAATAGTTGTAAAATACAAAGTTTGAGAAATACTGTTAGTTTTCATTATAAAAATATTCAAAAAGGTATGAGCCTGGGCGTGCTGAAAAAGAACTTACAGAAGTATAAATGCTTTTCTCTAAGATAAATAAAATACAAATTCAACCAATTTAAAAGGAACACTGAGAAAGAACATTTTTCCCTACTGAAACACTTTTTGCATATGTGAAATAGCACACGCACACACACACACACACACACACACACGTAAGGTGTGATCAAAATATACAGTGGATGTTCACATTTAAAATATTACAATAAAAGACACATTGCCATTCATCCCCCTTAAATACTCCCCTCACTGCACCAACAGTTATTCCTTTGTTCTTGTCACTTTCTGAAGCACTTCTGGAAGTTCTTTTTTGCGAGTCTTAAATATTTTTTATCATGGCTCTCCTGATGTCATAAAGCAATTCCAAACATTTACCTTTCATAGTCATTTTGATTTGAGAAGAGCCAGAAGTCACACAGTGCCTCATCTGGTGAATAAGGTAAATGAAGACTCATCTCAGTATTTTTGCCAGCATGTATTTTCATTGGATAGATTTAGGCAGCAGCATTTGTCATATTTTTCAATCACATCTCATAAAGATATGAAATAAGACTTCCAGAATTGTTCCAGAAAGTGACAAGACGATGGGATAAATGTGTTTGAAGTGAGGAGCATTTTGAAGAGGCTTAATGGCATGTGTCTTTTACTGCAATGATTTTTTTAATGTCAACATTCACCACATATTTTGATCATCTCATATATGTTTTTAGCTTAACTTTATTAAGGAAGCAGAAAATTCTATCTTTAGAAATTAGCACTGTTGCACATTTTAAAATTACTAGTAGTAAATAATATTAAAATGATCATGTTTTAATTGATATTTCAGGGACATGATAGCCACTGGTTGTGAAGACAAAAACGTTCGTGTTTATTATGTAGCCACCAGCTCAGATCAACCATTGAAAGTATTTAGTGGACATACAGCAAAAGTGTTTCATGTTAAGTGGTCTCCTCTGAGGGAGGGAATTCTTTGCAGCGGTTCTGATGATGGGTATGTATTTTTGGATTCTAATTTTCTAGTCCTTAAAAATCATAAACTTGTTTTTTTGCCAGAAATACATATATTTATAATATTAAATAAGTAGGTACAAATAAATTCAATCTAGACTAAATTAAACCTTGCCATGCTTATATTATCATTATGTTCATGATTTTTGTTATTTTACTTATAATGGATGCTTATCTCTAGATTATTAGCAAGAAAGTTAACAAAAATAACATTTTTTAAAAAGAACATGTGGAGAGGGCAGGCTCAGTGGTGCCACTGCCTGCCTCAAAAGCACAAGGACCTGAGTTTGATCACCGGTACCAAAACAAACAAACAAATAAATCTCCATAAAATGTAGAGAAAGGCTTGTTTTTTGTATTTTCATAATGTCTCACCAAGAATAGAGTAAAGGTGATCATAAATTTTGGCATGAAGAGAGAGCATTTTAAATATGAGAATGATTTAACATTATTTTTAATTTGAGAGTTTCTGAAATCTTGTCTGTATTTTATATTCCAAAAGATATATATTTACATAATGTAGTTTATTTTACCACTGTTTGAAGATGGGAAAATTTAGGTAAGAAAAATCTTATTTTGTCCATTTAAGGGTCATAGTGCATAGTAACCACGGGTTTAATATTGAATAATGAAGTGTTTTCACTTTGAAATTGTGGCATAATTAAAATCTGAGAGAAAGAATTATGAAATTTTTGTGGGTTATCACTTGTAATGCTTCTTCTAATTCTGTTACCATGTGAAAGTTAAAAAGCTTTATGTATAAGATTATTCTAGTCTCTCAGCATGTAAATTCTGTTCTACATGAAAGAAGTATAATATTCAGTCACTGGTGAGGAATAGTTTTAGAAAGATGCCAGTCATCATTTTACTGATTTATCTTCGTAAAAATTGAAAGTCTTTACTATATTTGGGTTATTCCTTTAGCAGTCACTGTTAATACAGGCAAAGGTTATATCTCACTAATGTTATCTAGCAACTTGAGATAGAGATAAAACATGTAGGGAAACCATTAATTATCAGTGTCCTCATAGCTGAACCCACACATACTTTACATTAAGCTGTTAAACTAGGGAGTTTTTACATATAATGGGGCATGTAAAAGCCTTTGTCATGTTTAACCAAAAAATATATATTGTGACTCCAAAGCCTAAATAACCATGTCATTTAAAAGAACCCCACTATTCTAGTGGCCCATATAATAATAATAAATTATTTTCATTGCAGATGCTTAATACATTCTTACTTATGAAAACATTACAGAGAACTGATTTATTGTATTAAGTATAAATATGAAGTGATTATTAAATGACATTTATCATCAGAATTTTATAATTCCATAATATACCAGTAACTTGGGTACTTCTAAATTATTGCTTTTTATATCATCATAATTTCTGTTTCATTATATGTGTTCTGGATTATTTCATTTTAAGGTAATTTTTATATACAAATTCTGAAATAGTATATCTACAATAGGTAGCAAATGACCAGAAAAATTCAGGGGGGGAAAAAGTTGCAATAAAATAGCTCTGGCATAGTTAAATTTCATTTCTGCTATAAAGAAGAGAATATTAATATATCTTGAAACATAAAATGCTGTTTAAATATGCTACAAAATACAATTGTGCTCCGTTAATATGTTCATAATTTGGGAAGTGATACTTTCAATATGCACATAATGTCCTCTTTTCAGTTCTGTTCGAATTTGGGATTACACTCAAGATGCTTGCATAAATGTTCTCAGTGGACACACTGCACCTGTGAGGGGCCTAATGTGGAACACTGAGATTCCATATCTACTCATATCTGGCAGTTGGGACTATACTATAAAGGCATGGGACACTCGGGAAGGAACCTGTTTGGATACTGTGTGTGATCACGGTGCAGATGTATATGGTAAAAGTGTTTTTCATGTACCTGTTATTTTGACATGTTAATTATGCTTATCATTTCTGAGCAATACGGTATATTTATTTGGGGTATTGGAAATTGAAACCCTTTCATGGTCAGCTGTATCCCCAGCCATGAGTGTGTGTGTGTGTGTGTGTGTGTGTGTTTGAGACAGCTCTTGCTAAATTTCCCAGGTGGGACTCAAACTTATGCTCCTTCTACCTCAGTCTCCCAAGTGTTGGGATTACAGGCAAGAACAATCACACTGAGTGCTATACTATATATTTTAAGACGTCTTAATATATTTTATTCTAAAAGAACATTTTTATCATTTAAAAATATACTTGTTTATTGAAATATCAGAATATATGAAGGATGTTGAAGTCATCATGTATTATCAGAACATGACTAGTACTAGTACTGCAATATCTTTTTCTGTGTGTGTGTGTGTGTGTGTGCTTCATTGCTTACTAACAGTGCACACCTACATCCATGTACAAATACACAAGTATTTGTATGGGTTGGGTTTTCTCCCTTTCATTACCATCACTTCAGATGTAAATTGTAGAAAAGGAAATGAATAATGGAGTAGACATTTAAGCTATTCTCCATATATTTGTGTAGTAAAGAAAATGTTTTGTTTTTTAAAATAATGTTTTCTAATATAATTGAGTTAGGTCTGGAAAATCAGATTAATTATCTTTTGTGTACACTTTGCCTCTCATTTGCACTTGTATGTATTCTTTCCCAAACCTCGATGGGAGTAAGTGGGTGATAATTCAAAAATGATACCTTAGGAAAAGTAATGTAAATCTAGTTATTCAGATCCATATGCTTTATCTCAGTAGCATTTTTATATGAAGCAGTGTGGGACTGATTTTAGAGAATCTTATTTGTTTATATTCTAAATTGAAAGACTGTCTTTGACTTGTAGCTAGAACTTGCAGTTATCCTTCCAATAACTCATAGATACTGTGTGACTCTTTGGTACACTTGTTACTTAGTCAAATAAAATGTAATTTCAACATTTCACACAGGACCATTTGCTTTCCAATAATCATTCAATTTTGTATTCATATTTACATACTGTAGTAAATAATTTCTTAATTCTTATATTATCTGCCAATATACTAATTAAATACAAGTGGAAATTTCACTCAGAATCTTTCAGTTACCACATCATTTTTTCAGAAAATCAGTTTTGTAGTTTTTTGATATACCTATAAGTAAAAAATATTTTCTAATGTTTACTTTAGTTAAAATTACATTTTTTTTTAACCAGGTTTAACATGCCACCCAAGTCGCCCCTTCACTATGGCTTCTTGCTCTCGTGATTCTACAGTGAGACTCTGGTCATTAACATCTTTAATTACTCCTTTACAAATAAATATTCTGGCTGACACATCTTGGGAAGAAATTATCGGGAACACTGGTATTGAACATATGTGTGCATTAGATGTTTTTTCTTTTTTCCCCATTAAATTTATTAGTACACTTAAAGCAAATAATACAGTTACATTTATCATTGGGATCTTGTACCTTTACATGATATGTCTTGGTTCTTACTTTTCCCCATACCCCTGAAAAAAATGTGAAAAGAGGAAAAAATGAAGATTTTATTTTTAAAGAATGTTAGAAATTCTTCTTCACTGAATTATATCTCTTAATCAGATTATGCTGTCGAACAAGGTGCTCCCCCTCGGATGTGTGGTAAAATGTCAAGAGATATCAAGCAAGAAATAGAAAAGCTAGCTGGTAATCCTCGAGTGAAAAAACTAAGACGGTTTTCAGAATGCTTATCTGTAAGTTTTACAGAAATTAAATGCGAACGTGTTCCCCTTAGCCAAAATGAATTGTTACAGCTGTTGTTATGAAATTGTCATATATCCATATTCCCTGTCCTAAGTGGGTCTTTTTAACATAATCTTTACAGTAAGGAAACATAAAACCAGAAACACATGAAATAATGTATACCTGTTATTTCAATTTAGATTATAATATATTTGAAAATGCAAAATGCCAGAAGGATTTTTATTCACTGTTACACTTTTGATTATTCTGTGTCAACATTTTAGCCTCCAGGTGGTAGTGACAATTTGTGGAACTTGGTCTCTGTGATAAAAGGGCAAGATGATAGCTTACTTCCTCAGAATTACTGCAAAGGAATAATGCACTTGAAACATCTGATTAAATTTAGTACTGTAAGTAAAGCATGCGGTTTGATGTGCTGAAGCAATTTTTCCCTTTTAAAGTAAAAAAATTATAATAGACATGATTAGATTGATAGACTGAAATAAATTAACACTGAAATAAATCTTCCATAAAACTTGTCATGACACTATGAATTATTTGAGAACAGATTAAGATACCCATACTTTTCAGAGTTGGTCTCTCATGAATTCTTCAAAGATCACTTGGAACTTCTTGAAATGCTTTATCTTCACCCTGTTACCAATGATTGTCAAATATGGACTACTCTGATTTTCATCTTAGAAAATCTAATGGCTACATACTGGGATATGTTTATTAGAACTCATCATAACATAGATGTTAATGAATTTCTATACAGAATTATTAGCTATATTATAAAAGGGCAGTATCTCGTATCACTAATGAAATCTGTCCTGGGAGCAAAAAGAAATGGTTAATTGTTGGAGTATGTTAGAAATAGTGCCAGGAATGTAATTTGATGATCATAAGGAACTGCTATTTTAATAATGATGAAGAACTTTCTTAAAACACAAGCTGAACATCTAATGACAGTGTCGAAAAAAAAGTCTATTGACGGTAAAGGAACCAAAGTGAGCCTCTGATTTTTAAATTTTAAATACTTAAATTTAAATATTTATTCCTTCATTCATTCATTTGGTTTTTTCTCTCTCCTACTTGGTGTGTGTCACTTTATCACTGCCTTTTGGCCTCTGGAACCACAACCACAACCTCTGGAGAGGGTTAAGGACACAGGGATGCAGCTTCATCTCTCCTAGTCTCCCCACATGCACCCTAAATATTATGTTTAACAATGCATCATAATTTATAGACAATAAGTACTGATTTTAACATTTAATTCTCAGTGCTATGTGCTTTTACAATGTACAGGTCTTACTAACAAAATTTTTAAATTGTGTTTTCTTTTTAACTAGTCTGAAGCCCAAGAACTAACAACAGTCAAGATGTCTAAGTTTGGTGGTGGTATTGGTGTACCTACAAAAGAAGAAAGATTAAAAGAAGCTGCCGAAATACACTTGAGATTAGGACAAATTCAGAGATATTGTGAACTAATGGTTGAACTCGGAGAGGTAATGTGCTAGTAAAATTAAATGAAGAAGCCTAGCTAATATTTTAAGTGTACTTAATTCTATATATTAAAAACATGAAGCTTATTTTTTCTCATCCAGTTGATTCTCTGGCAGTCTGAGATCAGGTGTGATCCAGGATAAAATCAGTTGTCTAAAATAACAGCTTCAGCATCACTTTAAACACCCATGTCCCTTCCCAGACCTACAGAATCATAAATTCTGGGAATGAAACCTAACAGTTTATGTTTTTATAAGTCCTCCTGATTATTCTCATTCATGATGAATTTCAGGAAGCTCTGCCTAGTGGCTAATTGCATATACTGGAATCCCCATCCCACACTGGCCTGAAGAGGGGTTTTCACTGGTGAAAGGTACTCATGAGCCATGTCCTGGTTTTTGTAGAGAGGTCAACAAAAGAGATTTTTCACAGCAAGATTAGGATGAATATGTGCCATTAAAATTCAAGAGAGTGACTTCTCTTGGTAGGTGGACAGTGGCTAGAATGTAACACAAAGGAAGGTTCTTGTTACCGGATGCTAGTTCCATGCATATATACTGTTTCTGAAAATTAATTAGGATTTCCCCCTTTCTGGTTAAATATTTTATCTCAATAAAAATTCTCAACCTCCCAAAACAAAGGACAAAATGACATGGACACATTTAACAGTTGATTATTATTTTTTAAATGTGTAGATTAGTTAATTTTGTTATTACAAAACATGATATTAAGAATAGTTGTAAGTAGTATAAATATAATTCACTTTTTATTTTTACAATGAAGTACTGCTTGACCTGAAGTATTACCATGTGCCATTTAAAAGTAAACTATGAAGTTTTGAATTTAGGAGCAATATAAAATTATTATTTATGAAATAATAAATATCTGATGTAAAAGTTACTTTTTTAATCAGAGTATTATTAGAAACATAATCTATTGAAACACAAAAGAAAAGGAATAAATAAATTTTGGTAGAACAGTGTTATTCTCTACCTTTCTGAGTTTTCTTTGGATGTGCATAATTTTAAACTCTCTTGAAACCTTTCTCAGGTATCTTTTTATAACAGGCAATTTTATTGTATAAATTCACTAGTATTAATGATTCATGAAATTGTGTTTGAAATTTTTTTAGACAACTAGGTCTGCTTATAATTTCTCAATCATCTTATAAACAGTTTCTATTTAAGTAAGTTTAATACTATGGAGTTAATGAAACACATTTTCACTTGTAAGTTATGATTTATTGAAAGTTAATTCAATTTAAATTTCAACTTTTTTCTTCCATTTGTCCCTACTGTAATAAAGACAAATATTCTCTAAAAACATTTTTAAGGTACCATTTAAGTAAAAATGATTTTAAATATGTAGTTTTAAAAATGATCTATTCAACATAATTTTCAAGTTAATTACCAATTTTTCTATCCTTAATTGTAGTAGAACCCTAGTGTCTTGGAGAGCCTTAGTTAAAATTAAGGTTTGACTTACGTAGAGGTGTTTCAGAATATTTGCACCTCACTTTCATTTTAATATTGTATTTGCCAAATTCCATATAACAGTCATAATCAGCCTTGATTGAATAACTTTTTTCAATAGTAGTCTATTTTTAAGATATGACAAGTATCCCTAATTATAAGGGAAGAAATGACAACAAATAAAATTTATAAAGAGAAGAAAGCAAGAAATAAAAACAGAAATCAATGGTGCTCTTGTTTGATATAGACAACATACAAATTTCAGTATTATTTATTTTAAACAAAGAACACTACAGAACAAATAATTCTGGTATTGCTAGAAGATGTTACAATATTTTCAAACTACATATTTCAATTACTATTCTCTCTAATTCTTTGCTTTTCCTCCATCTTTTTTTGCCCACATGTCTTTCCCTCTTTCCATTTCTTCTTTCTAGCTTTGGAATTGGATTTTCACTGCTGAATCATGAAGTTTTACATATTTTATAATAATATTTACTCTGTAGGGAATGAAATAAGTTGAATACAAAAATGTTCGAAGAAATCCAACAACTAAAAATTCTGTAAATATGAATTCACTTGTTAAAAGTCTGTTTAGAACTATGCAGTGTTCCTGTTCTTCTTGCCTATTATTCCAGTGGGACAAAGCTCTATCCGTTGCACCAGGGGTCTCTGTGAAATACTGGAAGAAGTTAATGCAGAGGTAAGGCAGAGGGTCTATGTCTAAATAGATGTTTTAAAAGCAACTATTAGAATAGACACACTATAAAAATATGGTAGTAGCTCTTGAGATTTCTTATCCTTATATTTTCTTAAATAATAAGTGAATTTTATCTGTACTGATACACTAAGTGAATTGGTTGCAAATCATTTTGGTATTCTTATATTTGTCTTCACATCTAATGGAGAGAGTAGAAGGTAAATTTCTCCATATTAATGCATAAATAGATATATCAGCAAAATACTGACTGATTAATGTATTGATATTAAAATATAAGGCAAAAGACTTTCTGAAGATTATCCAAAGTTTGTAGCATGCTGCCCTGGAAATAATTGTAACTGTTTTCTCTGGAACCACTAATTACTACAATTTCCTGTTCGTGAGTATAAGTGAGGTTCCGATGATGAAGGACAATCTGACCTCAGGGGAAATTTAGCACAATGTCCTTGTGTTAGAAGGCGATAAGCCAAGAAGATTTTTTGTGCAGGTGTATTAGTTTCTTAAGTTTGGCATAACAAATTACCACAAGTTGGGTGAATTAAAACAATAGAAATTTACTCTCTCACAGTTCTACGGACTAAAATTCCAACATGATTTTTTTAGTGGAGTTGGTTATTGTTGAGCTCTAGGGAAAAGTCAGTGCTGTGCTTCTCTCCTAGTTTCTGGTCTTCGACATCTCAAGGTTTATAGACGCATCACTCTAGTCTCTGTGTCATCTTCACGTGGCATGATCTCCTCTGCGTCTCTGTGCCTGCCTTTCCTTGTCTTAAAAGGATACGATTGTAACAAATTTAGGGCCTGCTCTCTTCTTACCCAAAATGATGCCGCATTAATTTAATAAATTACATAGGCAAAGACAAGTTTATTTCTATATAATGTTTACATTTACAGGTACCATGGTTTAGAATCTTAATATTTTATGTACATAACACATTTCAACTCAAAACATACAACTCTTTTTGTTTCATTCTACTGTATTCTATTCTGTTCTGTTCTCAACACATATTTATTTACTGCCCACTGTGTGACCATCATTGTGCTAGGCTGCTAATGTGCTATTTAATCTAAATGTCTCGGTTCTGACAGTAGAAACAGAAACCTGGTTTATTGTTTTATAGGACATGGTTTAGGAAAACATTAAACTAGCACCTACATACACAAACAAAATATCAGTCAAATCTAAGCATGATTTACTCTTACCATAGAAAGTAAACTGTTCCCTTGCACCTAGTCTCCCATTGGTAAGTTAAACAACAGGTTGGCTCTAGGCTTCACACTCTAGACTCCCAGAATCCTAAGTATGTCTCTATTTCTGTACCCTCACAACGCAATTGTGAATGTAACTGTTCCCACTGAATCCTTAATAAAAATCAAGTTAGCGATGTATACTTATTTCATAAGACATTGTTTCAACCCTACCAAAAACTTAATTGAATACTGCTTAATACCAAGGTAGAGCCATTCAATGTTAATAATTTGTAGAATGAAAGCAATGATCATTTGGTATTCTATTTGGTATTCTATTTTATATTTGATCGTTATACTTATTTTTGATATCATTTGGTATTTTATATTTGATTGTTAACACTGTTTTCTAGCATATATCTATATTATTATGCCACTACATTGCTCATTAAACTTGTATTTTCATTAGTACATGTCTTGGTTAGTTTTCTCCCATTGATGAGACAAAATACCTGACACCCAAAGTTAAAGGGAAAAAGGTTTATTTGGCTTATGGTTCGTAGAGGTTTCAGTCCATAATCTGCAGGCTCCAAGGCAAGGTGGCAGAGGGGCAACAGATCATAGCAGCAGGAACAGAAGAAATAACAAGTAAGTTTAACAGTGCATTTCTGCTCCTTAGTTTATTCAGACAACAGGGATTAGGGCCATGCCAAACCAATCATTCACATGTAGTGGCTTAATAAGGCCCTGAATCCAAGCAGCCTATATGAATGCATGAGGCTTTAGGGGACATCTAGACCCAAACCATCACAGCGCATGCTTGCAGGACACAACATTTACATTCTTTATGAGTTGGCACAAGTACATAGCACATATTAATGCTTTCACTCCCTTTCCCTCCTTTCTCTCCCTGCCTCCATCCCCTTCCCATTTGAGAAAAATCTACGTCCGTGCTTCCTGTTTTTTATTTTGAATCTGAGTTTCTCATGGAGAGAAACCATGCAATATTTAAGCTTTTGTGTCTCATTCATTTCACTTCACATTATGGTCTCAGAGTGCATCTATCTTCCTACAAAGGACAAATCTATCTTTGTGGTAGAATAGTACTCCATTGTGTGTGAGTGCCACGTTGTTTTTATCCATTCGTCTGTTGATGGACATATAGGGAGTTTTCAAAGTTTAACTATTATGACTTGTGCTGTTATAAACATGGGTGTGCATATTTCACTGTAATATGATGTTTTTAATTCTTCAAGAAGAAACCCAGAAGGGGAATAACTGGGTCAAATTAAATTTCTAGTTTTAGTGCACTGGTTTACATAGTAGTTGTAGTACTTACCTTACACCAACAGTGTAGAAGAGTTCCTTTATCTCTCACAAGCATTTGTTATTATTTGAATTCTTGATGATAGCCATTCTTTCTGGAATATGATGGAATCTCAGTGTTGTTTTAATTTGCATTTCACTAATGGCCAGTGATGCCAAACATTTCTTCATATATTTATTGGCCATTTGTACTTCTTCATTTGTAACGTGTCTGCTCATTTCACTTGCCCGTTATGTATGGATTCACAATGTGATGTGCCCTCAGATACAATGTAACAGAGAAACCCTGTTCTAAACTGGGATGTTTGAACAGAAATATAAAGGATTTATAGGAAATGGTCAGCTGAAGAGGCTAGAAAAAGTAGTCCAGGCCTAGGGAGAGTAAAAAATCTAAAATGGGGCTTGAGTATAGAAGGTAGTGGGGGGGGGCAAGTGAGAGTGGAAAAGTAGACAGGTGCTAAAGGTTTTAGGGCCTTTTATATGTTAATTTTTTTCTTTCTTCTTAATCTTAAGAGGTTGCCGTACACTGGGGTTTTGAAACAAAACAAAGACCAACCAAAACAAAACTCTTTGGAGAATATCTGAATCAAATGGGATGTGAGATCAGTAGTTGTTTTTGAGCATGTTGAACTTGAGACTATTCTGTAACTTTAACAGTAATTTCAGAAAGATAATCTTCATTCACTAACCGAAGAGGAAATCTGAACAACATGGAGATATTGTTGACCTTAATAAGAGCTGATGAGGTGAAAAGGAGACAGAAGCAAGATGAGGAGCTCAGTGGAGCCCTGGGAGGGAGGGAAGCAGATGAGCATTATTCAGTTCTTCCAACTCGTTTCTTTTTTTCTTTTCTTTTGTGTGTTTTTATTTCCTTTTCTCTTTTATCAGTATGTGTTTGTAGTTCACAATGCTTCCATTCCCTTGAGGTGTTGATACACGTGTATAACACATAGTAATTACATGTCCCTTTCTCTGCTCCCCCCCACCTTCCATCCCGTGCTCCCCTTCCCATTTTAGAAAGAGCTATGTGCCTACTTCCTATTTACTGTCTTTTGTTTCACACTTTATGTAAAGCCAATACATGACTTTTTTTTTCTGCTCCTTAGTCTATGTGGTGGTCATAAAATGGGCTGCCCACAAACCACAAGTTTATAATTCACAAATCACCCAGACACTGGTTGGCAGTCTCTCCAGAGAGATAGAATATTGTTTCTAAACAGCTTCTTTTTTTTCATTGAGTTTATTAGTACATTTTAGGTATGCAGTGCAGTTACATTCATTACTGGGATCTTGTACCTCTACATGACAGGTCTTGGTTCTCAATTTTTCCCCTTGTCCCTATCCTCCCTTCACCCTTCCCCATTTACAAACACCTCATTTCCAATTTTTTCATTTTCTCATATTTTTTTCTTTTCCTTTATTAGCTTTCCCCTACCCTTCCCACTTTCCCTACACCTTTAGCCCCTTTCTTCCTATTTCACATTGTCAAGAACTCAAAACAGTCAGCCCCCCAAAATATAAAGACCCGATTCAAAAATGGGCATCTGAAATGAACAGACATTTCTCAGACAAAGAAGTATAAACAGAAGGTAAATATATGAAAAAATCTTCCACATCACTGGTCATTCAAGAGATACGGATGAAAACAACACTGACATTCCATCTCACCCCACAAAGAATGGCTGCTATCAAGAAATCAACCAATAACAAATGTTGCCGGGGTTGTGGGGAGAAAGGAACTCTTCTCCATTGTTGGTGGGAGTGCAGACTGGTGCAACCACTATGGAAATCAATATGGAGATACCTCGAAGAGCTGGGACTGGAGGTTCCATTTGACCCAGCCATCCCTCTGCTGGGTATCTTTCCAAAAGAATTAAAAGAATCATATCACAGAGATATAGGCACACCTATGTTTATAGCAGCACCATTTGTAATAGCTAAAACTTGGAAACAGCCCATTGCCCATCAAATGGAAACTGGATAAAGAAGATGTGTTTTTTCTATAAAATGGAATACTACTCAGCCATAAAGAATGAGAAATTAGAGTCATTCATAGGAAAGTGGATACATATTGAGGATATACTCCTAAGTGAAATAAATAAGTCACACATGTTGAAATACTGAATAGTTTCTCTGGTGTGAATAAACGATAATAGTACATGAGATCCTAATGATAAACAGCTTCTTTTTAAGGAACTTGTTTCTAAACAGCTATATTGAGGAGATCAGGGTTACATGGGAATAACATAGCTACTTTGGAGTACCCCACCTCACAATGTACTGGAGACTATGAAAAGGCGGCTAAGCAGAAAAATTATATTTGTACCTTCACAAAGACTAGAATTTGAACTCTAATTTAATTTCAATGCAGCATAAATTAAATCTGAAGTTATTTTCAAAGGAAACTAAAGTTAAATTTTAAGGATGGGATTAACTAGATTGGTTTAGAAAATACCCAGGGGTTGGACAGGAAGAAAGACAAGCAGACAAGCAAGAAGTGATGGGTGCAGAGGCAGACAGGTATGCAGAATCAGATACATGTATATCTCATGATTTCTTTTTTCCACTCACATATGTGAAACTCTAATTTTTAAAAATTTCCTTTAATTATCTAGCACAAACACTTAAAACATTCTATATCTTATTACTTTTATGTTCATATATTATACTTTTTAATGTTTTTGAAAGTACTTCATTTTAGATCTATATTGCTATTCTCATTAAAATATTTAAAAGTCTCTGTCTTTAACAGCACATATACCTACATATTTAATTAATCCATGCTTTACAGTTTATTTGGAGAGAAGCACATTGGCCATTTTACTTTTTTTTTCCTTTTTATTGAGTTTATTGGTACAATCTAGGTATACAATACAATTATATTCATCATTGGGATTCTGTACCTTTACATAATAGGTCTTGATTCTCATTTTTCCCCTTGTCCCTGCCCTCCCTTCACCCCCTCCTCCCCTCCCCATTTACAAACACTTTATTTCCATTTTTTCAGTTTCTCATAGTTTTTTCTTTTCCCTTATTACCTTTCCCCCACCCTTCCCACTTTCCTTACACCTTTAGCCCTTTACTTCCTATTTCACATTATTAATTGTCTCATTAGGATCCTGTGTACTATTATAGTTTTTCACACCAAAGAAACTATTCAGTATTTCAGTTAAAGAAATCTCTGTATGAACCTTAAAAATAGAGAATCCTAAAATAAAACTAAAAAGGAAAGTAAAAGAGAAAAGGCAATGATGTAACATCAAAATTAATTGATAAATCAGTTTGATTTTGAGACCTGAAATGTTTGAACATTTAAAATTTGAAAATATACAATGTTCTAAGGGCAAACAAGCACTTTTGGTAATTAATATTTTATATTTCCCTTATTTAGGACTTGATTATATGTGATTTGATTATAAGAGTTTTTAAAAATGATGTCAAAGAGCTATCTGATATCTGCTACAAAATTTTAGATATGCCTTTATAAAATACCAGTTCAACAGAAAAATTTTAAATTGCAGTTTAATACAGTGAAAAACATACTTTTTTATTAGGAGAGCTGACCAGTTGATCCAGGAAGATAAGGATGATGTCATTCCATACTGCATAGCTATTGGTGATGTGAAAAAACTAGTCACTTTTTTTATGTCAAGAGGTCAACTTAAAGAAGCACTGCTTGTCGCACAGGTACCAATATATGAATACAGCGACACATACAATGGTGAGGAGTCATATAGAAGGGAGAAAATTGTGCTGAAGGGTTCGCCTTCATAAATTTATAGTCATGAGTCATGAGATGGCTTGGTTTCTGCCCACCTCCCCAACTTTCTGCCTCAACGTTTTAGTCATGCAATCTTTGTTCACAGAATTTAATTTAGTCCTTTAAATATCCATGCATCTCTGAGCTCTGCATATGCTGCTGATGGTTCCACACCGTACATTTGAACCAGTTTTTTAATCATTTACTTGAAGCTTCACGTCACTACTCACATACTTGCATTGTTTTTCAAGTTCTGAGGTTGTTTCCTAATATAGTATAAATTTCAAACACTAAGTATGACTTGTTCAAAACAATATTCTGCAAGTGGTTAGTTATCAACAGTTAGCTAAAGATTAATAAAGGCTTAATTAAATTCTAGGCTGCATGTGAGGGAAATATGCAAACCTTACATGTTTCTACATCTAAAGGAGCTTCACATTCTGATGATATCTACAAGGAAGATTTTAATGAGTGAGTGATTTTTGTTTTGAATCAATACTTTTTGTGATTGATTTCCCTTTAGGAGCTTTGGAGGGCCATGTAGTTGGCCCTTCTCTGTATGCCAGGGACTGGCACCTGTACTCCACTGTATTCCTCCGCATTGCCTACGTTCACGAAAGCATCTATCCATGGAAGTACAGAATGTCAGACATGGACACACAGCCATACACATTTTCTATAGCTTCCGGAAAAATAACGTAATTCTTAAAGGCTGGTGAAATCCTTGGGGAGGATGGGGTGGTAAAAGTAAAGTGTGCGACTTTCTTTGCTTTTTTTTCCCCCCCGAAAGTTCAAACCTAAGTCAAGGATGTAAAATAAAGTCCTGTTTGATGATTTGACTCACAAAAGAATATTACTTAATATTTATTGTGGAATTTTTGTGTTAATAAATGATATATATATATTTTTTTTTTTCTTTTTCTTTTTCTTTTTCTTCCTAGACTTCTGCACAAAGTCAGTGAGGAATTGGCAGAATGGTATTTTCAGGATGGTCGGGCAGTGCAAGCTGCATGCTGCCATCTAGCGGTAGATAATGTTGAGGTACAACATTTCAAGTTGGTTTATGTAATGAAAGTTCTTTGGCTGTGTCATGGTATTTGAAGGGAAGGATTAAGAGATGTGTGTGTAAGATCTGGTTTTGCATTCTTTTGAGCTTGAGTAACTACACGCTTAACCGTACATGTAAACACTGTAGACTATGAGCACTCTTGTATTTATTTTTCCCCATTAAGTTTATTGGTACATTTAAAGTAAACAACAGTTACATTTATCATTGGGATCTTGTACCTTTACATGAAATATCTTGGTTATTTTTCCCTATAACCCTGCCCTCTCTTCATCCCCTTCAACCTTCCCTATTATGTATTTATGAAAACCTTACTTCAAATATTTCATTATGGATGAAATATTGTATTCATAGACAAGAAGTGATAGTGTGTCAGAAAAGAAAAAAGTGCTGGATTTAGAACTCAATGAATTAACCCTGAGTCATGTTTCTGTCACTTACTGTCTTGTTATGTATTCTCTCAAATCTCAGATGTCCTCAACTGTAAAATATGAAAATGTGAATACCTACCTTACCTCCCTTATGTGTAGTTGTTTGGATTATGGTAATACATACAAATGAAAGAAAGCACTTGTTTTTAAGTATACTTCAGTGTATTATTCACGATCTTATACTTTTAAGGTACATTCCAATTGACCCACTCATCAATATTAAGTAAATGAAAGATTTCATTTTGCATTTATCCTCAGATGTATTGGATTTAAGAAATTGTCATTGTGCGATCTCAAAGAAGCATTTCTTTATTTATTTATTTAGTACTGGGGCTCGAACTCAGGTCCTTGAGCTTGCAAGGCAGGTGCCAGAAACACTGAGCTAAATCACCTGCCCTTCAAGACACTTTTAACGATTTATTTTCTAGTACATTGACTAACATGTTGAGAGTATTGCAGAGTATTAGTAATTAATTTATAAAATAGAAATAAGATTTCTAAAGTTTTAAATTTTGAACTGTTAAAATTCTCAATATGTCCCATCATCTGCTTTTTCATATGAAAATTTTGATCACTCTTATTTAGGTACTATGTAGGAATATTACAATCAATATTTTATAAGAATAATTTATTTAAAAGTTAATTTTTATCTACTTTATGAGCATGGAGGGGAATGATGGTCCTACCCAGCATCTATGAAACTGAAGAAATTATTTTCTTATTGAGCAAGCTTGCTATGGCATACCTAATTCGTGGAAATGAACTGGAGTTGGCAGTCTCAGTGGGCACAGCACTAGGAGAACCTGCAGAACCAGCAACCCACTATGCCTTAGAATTACTGGCGAGAAAATGCATGATGATTCCAACATGGTGAGAGTTTCTAAAATGAAAGAATAATTTTATAGTGACATGCATTTTATAAAAATATTGTAAATTTTATTTGATAAGATATGCCACAGGAGAATATAGGATCTACTGTCTTACAAAGGATATTAGGTTACTGTATTTGTCAGCTTTCCTGTCTCTTGTGCAAAATATCTCGCACCTAGAACTTATAGGAGAAGGGGTGTATTCTTAGCCTACAGCTTTAGAGGTTTCTTCTGGCTCTGATTCAGAAACATCGTAGGCAAAAAGTATGGAGGTGAAATGCTGCTCAACTTGAGGTAGCTGAGAGGCAGAGAGAGGGAGAGTAGAGAGGAAGGGACCAGGGACCAGATGCAGGCCCCCAGGGTCACATTCCCCAGACCCACTTGTGTACCTCTTAAGATTATGAAGACTAGATCTTCCCCCCATCTTAAAATTTTACATATCTACACTTTCTTTTGTGAGATATTGTGTTGTAGTTTAGGACCAGAAAATAGTCACTTCTGTAAGAAAAAGCAATAATAAAGATGGTTTTGCTGAAGGCTTGGAATAGTCCATCTCTCCAAACTCTGGCAGTACTTCCTAGAGGTAGACTCTGGAAAGCCCCTGGGTAACCTGAAAATGTAGGTCAAAACAATTCTCTCTCAGATCTCAAGAGTCCTATTCCTAGATCGTGCAGTCTGGCATTAAGGGCACCTTTAAGAAAGCTGTCTGTCATTCAAAAGATGGTTGTTGAGTCAAGATGATTTTAGAGTTTTATCTTCTCTTTCCCCAGAGTTCTTACACCAAAAGCACATATGTTTAAAGATCTTCTAACTAGCTGTATTAGTTACTTTTAATTAAAAAGATATATTAATTGTAACTCTGCCCTCGGGAATTTCTCCTGTATTTAGTCATAAATACGTGTACTAGAAATTAAAAATTCAAAATCTAAAGAAAATATGGTGCTGACTTGGTTTATTTCTAGAGAAGTCTGTGATCTTTGTAGTGATTAGTAGAGTTCCAGAAATTAAAAGGAAACAGCTACAAAATTTAGAGAGAAGTTTCATGATTTTATAAATCAAAAACTTCATACTTTTTACATTTACTAATAAAAGTTTGTTTCTACTTGATATTCATCATATACTCAGATATTCATATTCAACATTTTCTTTTTAGTTTTCCATTTGTTGGATACAGGTATTACCTACATTTTTTTAAATATGTTTATAAAAATTTTATGTATGTACTATTTTGTATACACATTTAAGAACCATCTCTGGGGCTGAGGATTTAGCTCAGTGGTTCCACCAACTGCCTCACAAGCACAAGGACCTGAGTTCAATCCCGGTACAAAAAAAATGAAAAAAAAAAAAAAAAAAAAAAAAAAAGAAAGAAAAAAGAAAAGAACCATCCCTGTATTAAAAACTGTACCTTAGCTACTTTCACTTTATTTTAGATTATTCCAATTTATATATGTAATTTATATAACTTATAGCAAATAAAAACTAACAGCAAATCAAAACAGTTCCTATAACTCAGGCACAAAATCATTCATGACTTTATACTTAAAACGTATAAATAAATGAACTATGGACTTCTAGAATAGCAAATAATAGCTAAGCTAAATAAAATAAGTGCTCTCATAATGAAATCTGAGTTTGATAATTTTGTCTGTATTATTTTATATATACACACACATTTTCCCTCCATCAGTGTGCTGAATTTTAAAAAAATAATAAAATTTGTTAGCTTTGCTATAAATTTTACTATATTAGGATATAATTCTATGGTAAGAAAGTCATTTGTTCTTAGTTGATAGAAGTTTAAATATTGTTTTAATACAGCTGTTTAATATAGAGTAAAAGCGAATGATAATTGTGTATTTTCATGGACAGTATTTAAAACTTATTTGTGTTAGAAAATATATAAAATCATTCTTAACTTTTTAGCAAGAACAGACAAACTATTCTAATTTGGAAGTTATAAAAACTCTCAAAGCTTTACATACTGGTAATAGAAATACATGGCAGTTTGCAAAGACATTATGTTTAGTTATTAAATGGTTATGGGAAATAATTTAGTAAATCTCTGTTGACATACAGAAAATTGTTAAGAAAATGTTGAATTATTATTTTATGGTAACTCACTAAAGTTTTATGTTAATTATAAAAGCTTTAAGTAATCCTAATTTATAATGCTACTATTCTAATAGTGTAGGGTGTGTGTGTGTGTGTGTGTGTGTGTGTGTGTGTGTGTGTTCTTTAATATAATTTTGGATTTGATACCAGAGGTTACAAATAATCTCCATTTCTATTCTGTACTACCTACTCTTGAGTAAGACCTCTTGTTTAAACAAAATGTTGATTCACATAAATAGCCAATATATATTTTTCTAAAGTCTTCATGAACAAAGTGAAAGGACTCTCAGAGTCCCTGGTGCATACCTTTATAAATTCTCCCTTGAAACATCACCTATACTAAAGTCATCCTGAATATTTTTTTCACTTTTTTTTCTTTTTATTGAGTTTATTGGTACAATCTAGATCTATAATATAGTTACATTCATCATTGGCATCCTGTACCTTTACATAATAGGTTTTGATTCTCATTTTTTCTCCTTGTCCCTGCCCTCCCTTCACTCCCTCCTCCCCTCCCCATTTACAAACACTTTATTTCCTTTTTTTCAGCTTCTCATATTTTTTTTCCTCTCCCTTATTACCTTTCCCCCACCCTTCCCACTTTCCCTACACCTTTAGCCCATTACTTCCTATTTCACATTATTAATTATCTCATTAGGATCCTGTGTACTATTATAGTTTTTCACACCAGAGAAACGATTCGGTATTTCAGTTAAAGAAATCTCTATATGAACCAATTGCTTGAAAAATGAGTAACATCTTAAACCGCTGAAAATGGTTTGAAACTTTTCTGAATTATGATACTCGCAACCAAAACTCTTCACCTAATGAATTGAAAAGAGCATTTTATGAAAAATAATTTATTTTAAAGCTGTTAAATCCACATCATTTTATATATAACCCCTTCAATGGCTAATTCAGTCTTTGAGAAGTAAATAAGCAAATTACACTTATATCAATTCTACTGAAAGCTTAAGAAATATGCAGAGTACCAAAAATTCTAAACTCCAGCTAATAGAATTTCCATTATTGACGAAGATAACAGAAGTTGATCAGAATTACCTTTCACAAAACTGGCTTTATAGTTTGCTGTTAAAAACATATCCAAAACTACTTAATTTGCCTAGAGAATTAGCCTATCATAATAACCTTGGTTGTAGATATGTAAAGACTTGTGTATGTAAAGATTAGTTTTTAAAGACAATATTGTATTTAGGAATTTGATAATTTATTTTTCACAATTTTTTATCTGTAATGTACATTTAGAGGGGTTTCATAATGAACTAGAAAATTAGTACTGTTTGTATAGGTTGAAAGTACAGGAAGTACAGCATGTGAGTCTTTTTTTGAAGTAACTAAGATCCTATTTTTAGATCATTTCCTCAGTGAAATTTCTCCTTTGATTTGTGAACAGGAATTTGGCAGCTGATCTTCTCCTGATGATTCCTAATAATGAACTACATTTAGTAAAACTCTGTGCTTTCTACCCTGGGTGTACTGAGGAAATAAATGATCTTCATGAGAAGGTATGTTGATAAAATTTAAGAATCGCATTTGAAATGCAGTACTGTAATTCAATTAGATTTAAGTTCAAGGAACTACAGATACCATGCAGAAAAGTATGTGTGTGGTCCCTTTGAGATTCTTATAAATTCAAAACATTGTAACAATAAGTCACATTTGTGGAGCTTTTTTATGTGCTTGTCACTGTAAATTTTTACATGTATTTGTATATTACTTTATTTTCATGAAAGCATGAAAAGCAGGGAGTATTGCTCTAGTTTACAAAGAAAGCCAATTCAGAGATGAAAGGTACTTGCCTAAATTAATGAAAAGTGGAATAAGAATTTCAACTTCCACAAGTCTTTCCCCAAATCCCAAACCTTTCCACTATATCAACTTGCATCTGAACGACGTTTGATAACTCTTTGAGAGACAACTTTTTGAAAAACATAACGAAATATAAGGATATTTGTAAACATTATACGAAGTATTTTTTCTTCTTTTGATTGAGTTTATTAGTACATTGTAGGTATACAGTACAGTTACAGTCATTACTGGGATCTTGTACCTTTACATGACAGGTCTTGGTTCTCATTTTTTTCCCCTTGTTCCTGCCCCCCCCACTTACAAACACTTTATTTCCATTTTTTCATTTTCTCATAGTTTTTTCTTTTCCCTTATTACCTTTCCCCTACCCTTCCCACTTTCCCTACACCTTTAGCCCTTTTCTTCCTATTTCACATTGTTAATTATCCCATTAGGATCTTGTGTACTATTATAGTTTTTCACACCAGAGAAACTATTCGGTATTTACACATGTGTGACTTACTTGTTTCACTTAAGAGTATATCCTCAAAATGTATCCAATTTCCTATGAATTACTCTAATTTCTCATTCTTTATGGCTGAGTAATATTTCATTTTATAGAAAAACCACATCTTTATCCAGTTTCCATTTGATGGGCAAATGGGCTGTTTCCAAGTTTTAGCTATTACAAACTGTGCTGCTATAAACATAGGTGTGCATATGTCACTGTGATATGGTTCTTTTAATTCTTTTGGAAAGAGACCCATCAGAGCTATGGCTGGGTCAACTGGAACCACTAGTCCTAGCTCTTTGAGGTTTCTCCATATTGATTTCCATAGTGGTTGCACCAGTCTGCACTCCCACCAACAATGGAGAAGGGTTCCTTTCTCCCCACAGCCCCGCCAACATTTGTTATTGTGCGATTTCTTGATAGCGGCCATTCTTTGTGTGGTGAGGTGGAATCTCAGTGTTGTTTTCATCTGCATCTCTCGAATGACCAGTGCTGTGGAAGATTTTTTCATATATTTACTTGCTGTTTTTACTTCTTTGTCTGAGAAATGTCTGTTAGATGCCCATTTTTTAATTGGGTCATTATATTTGAGGGGGCTGATTGTTTTGAGTTCTTTATATATTCTAGATAATAGTCCTTTGTCTGAGGAACAGCTGGTAAAAATTTTTTCCCACATTGTAGGTTGTCTCTTAGTTCTGTTAATGGTTTCTTTTGCAGTGCATGTCCACTCCTTTGTCAAAGATGAGGTAGCTAAGTATATCAGGAATTGTTTTTGTGTCTTCTAATCTGTTCCACTGATCCTCAGATCTGTTTCACAGCCACAACCATGCTGTTTTTATCTCTGTGTTTTTGTAGTATAGTTTCAAATTGGGAATTGTTATACCCGCTGCCATGTGTCTGTTGCCTAGGATGGTGTTTGCTATTCTAGGTCTCTTATGGTTCCAAATGAATTTTGGGATTCTTCATTCTAGTTCTGTGAAGTATAGTGTTGTAATTTCAATTGGCATTGCATTGAATCTATATAGCAGTTTTGGTAGTATGGCCATTTTCAGTAGTATAGTTTCAAATTGGGAATTGTTATACCCGCTGCCATGTGTCTGTTGCCTAGGATGGTGTTTGCTATTCTAGGTCTCTTATGGTTCCAAATGAATTTTGGGATTCTTCATTCTAGTTCTGTGAAGTATAGTGTTGTAATTTCAATTGGCATTGCATTGAATCTATATAGCAGTTTTGGTAGTATGGCCATTTTCACTGTGTTGATTCTTCCTACCCAGGAGCAGGGGATATCTTTCCTTTTTTTAAATATCCTCTTCGATCTCTTTTTTCAGAGTGCTGTAGTTTTCAGTGTAGAGGTCTTTTGCTTCTTTTATTAGGTTGATTCCTAGATACTTCATTTTTTTTTTTTGGATGCTATTGTGAAAGGAATTATTTCCCTATTTTCTCTCTCAGTGAGATTCTGCATTTTAACAGAAAAAAATGTACTGTGTGGCTTTTCATTTTGTAATAGTGAAAAAATCATAAACCAAAAATCTCCACTTTGTAGGCATTTCAGAATGTCAAATTTTAGAGTTTATACATTTTTCTAGCCTTGTTGAAATAAAATTGCTTGGTCTTCAGCTAAATAAAATGATAGTGAAGAGGACAATGAAACACCTTTTATGTTTGCTGCATTTAATGTGGCTTTAGACAATGTTTATGTTTGTTTATGTATGCTTATTTTAAAATAATTGTTTTCAATACTTTTTGATAAATTCATTTGTGGGCACTAATTCCAATATTACAATAAGGACAGCTTAATTACACATCTTTTATTAGGCATTTGACAGAAACTACTGACTCATAACTAAGGACACACTGTTTTTTATCTTAAGGATGGTTTCATAAATGTATACTTAATACAAATAATCTCATTTACACTTATTTTGAGCAATATAAATAAAACAGCCTGGATACAAGGAAATATTCAATACTTACTCTGTTGCTCTTATAACTCTATTGCTATTAGAAATATTGTTATCAAATTATTTCCTAGTGCAAGCTACCCATGGTAAAAGAATGTATGCAGTTAGCTGAGACAGCCCATGCAGATGGCAATGTGTTTGAAGCTATAAAATATTATTTACTCTGTCAAGAACCTGAAAAAGCCCTTCCTATTGGTGTTGGCTTTGTTAAAGGTAAGTTTTAGATTGATGATATAATTTTTAAATCTACTCTGTCATTTCATCTTTTTGTTCAGCTTGATGATCAATCTTAAAATGAAGCTTTAGTTATCCTACATTTAAGAAAGAGATTACTGTAGTGAAATATGGCATGTCTTCTGATTCTGTAGTATGGGGACCTGAAAAATACTGAACAGAAAAAATAGTTCTAAAGTAGAAAATAAAAAGATAGGACTGACTGGTGCAGATTTATCGATATAAGTTAAGAATTGGTTAAATACATTTCAATATTTATAATCAGAGAATCTTTTATTTTCCCAGACTGCATCAGTAATTCAGATTGGACCTTGGATACCATTTACCCTGTTCTTGACCTATTAAGTTACATGCGTACTGAAAAATTGCTCTTGCATACATGTACTGAGTGAGTACTGTTTCTCAAAGCTGAAAAAGAGAATCAAATGTAAGGTTTGAAATGCTTCAACTATTGGTGTTCAGATCAAGAAATAGGACCAAATTGGACTGGCAGCTGCACTTATAGAAAAATTATACATTTGTCATTTTCTTCTTTAAAAGCACAAAGGTCAACTTGAACGTTAAATATTAGTGGTCCTGTTTAGCAATATCTACTGTGTATATACTAATGTGTGTGTGTGTTTGTGTGTGTGTGTGTGCCTATACAAGTCATAATTATGTACACATGGTTCAAAGAAGCCTCGGTCAAATCATTCAGATTTTGAGTCTCAAATCCTCGAGAAACTAATGGTCATATTTACTAAATATCCTTTCTATGTAAGACATCATACTAGGCTTTGGGGACAGTGATATAAGTACTAGGAGATAGAAAATGAATGTCAACCCTAAATTCAACTACCATTTAAGGACATTGTTATCCATATAGCTAAAGCCGCCAGAGTCAGCTATGATGTGAAAGAGAGGCTTTGGAATCTTTTTTAATACCTATGTGGGAAAGATGATTCAACAGCTTAGGAAACTGGCAGATTTCTCCAGCAGAAAATATAGCAGATATTCTCCATGCAATGTGCCACAAATTCCTATATCTGAGCAAAGGGGTTATTTAGAAATAAATGGTATGAAAAATATATAAGGTAAGAGCTAGAAAAACTAGGTTAGTGGTGGGGCACATGCTTAGCATGCTTGAGGCCCTGGGTTCAATCCCTAGCACTGCAAGGAGAAAATAACAATGAGGAAATAAAGAAAAACAAACATGTAAGAGTTTAATACAATTTAAAGACTTTCATTCTAAATTACAGTTTATAACACGAATGTCTGAGTAGGAATTAAATTATTAGCAAATTATCTCTGAAGTTACAGAATTTTCAAAACATGTCACTAGAAACTTCACTCATCAGAATAA